ACTGGAAGTGCTCTCTAGTCGGTCACTCTGACAGCAACGGCAGCGAAGACAAGGGCCACTTGACCGTCACCTACAACAACAACTACTGGCTCAACATCAACTCTCGCGGCCCCTCTTTCCGCTTCGGAACTGGCCACCTCTACAACAACTACTACGAGAACGTCTCCGATGGCATCAACACGCGCCAGGGTGCCCAGCTCCTCGTCCAGAACAACGTCTGGGTCAAGGCCAAGAAGGCGCTCTACAGCACCGACGGTGGTAACGCTGTTGCCGAGGGCAACGACTTTGGCGGCAGCGAGAACACTGCTCCCAAGGGCTCCCTGTCCAAGGTCCCGTACGAGGTTCCTGAGCTCCTTGAGGCGGCTGCTGTCAAGGCTGCTGTTGTTGGCACTGCTGGTGTTACCCTCAAGTTCTAAGCGATGGAGAGTGAGTGTATTATAGGTGTATGGCTAGAAGGAGATATGATCTTCAGGATTTTGGAAAATTAAATCCAGGGATATATAAATGAGGATGGAGAAAAGGGGGTTTTAACGGCTTCAAGTGTAAATATTTTGATAGCTGATTTCTTGTATATATGTACGCTGTGCGGACAATATTTTACCAATGAAAGGGACGCTTTTCGTTGCAATTTTGTTGGTGTCATTTGCTTATAGGTGTTTACTACATATACAGCTGCATACAGTGAAGCTAAGTGAGTGTTTGGGAACGCACTTCTACTGCGATACAATATAGTGTAAGTCAACAGCGTTGTGCCTGCGTCTTATCACCAGCACGTCCATAATATCAATAGGCGTTTACTACTGATGTTATGTTCGCTGCGTACGACCTCTAGCAGCCGACGTTTGCTCCTCACCATCGTATCTTGTAGGGGGTGGTTCTTTGTTCCGCGTGTGACCTAAGAACCGGCGTTCCTGCCTGCAGGCACTGCTCCAAGTGGTATCGAACACCTGCGTAAACACGGTTTCCTCCATGAGACCATCATCTAGCGTCGTCGGCGCGGCAACTACTTTTGTGTTCTCCTCGTCTTCTAACATTTCATCGATACTGACTGGCCTGCGCGCATAGTAGTACCTCGGCCATTGGTGCCCGTTCGCGTCCACACTTGACTCGTCCTCATTCTGATCCACAGCATTCGGCATCATACCCCAGAATTTTACTTTCGAGCCCAGGGCGCTCATATAGGACAGTATCTCTGTAGCGAAGTGCTGCATAATATTCCGCATTACCTCGACGTACTCATCGGCCAGTTGGGATCCGGCATTGGGTGCGTGGCGCCACTCGTCGTAGAGTTCTATAACCGGAGGGGTATAGATGCGAACGCATTTCAGTGTGTGGTGGGCTGAGATGACAGTCTGAAACGTCACTGTTAGTGTCTGCACTAATGCATGAATGATGCAAGGAATTGCTCACCAAGTATGTCTCCAGTTCAGATGCTGCGTGAGCCTCTCCATGTATCTGTGCTAGCTTGAAGTTTGAGATAGCGTGTTCTACCTCACCCAAGCGTACTTTATAGAAGTCCACGCCGAGACCTTCAAGATGGGGACCCGATTGAAGAAGTTCTTCCAAATCATCTACGGATAGGCATGTTGAGTAACAGTGTATACCGAGTTGTCGGAGAGAAGAACCGTGGTGGACGATGCAGGAGATATCCACTATCCGATCATAAAGACTAAGCGAAAGCACTCGGAGGCCACTGAACGACTTCAAAAGTCCTTCGATCGCTTGTTGATCCTGATCCGTACGAATGTGGGCGTTAGCCTGTTCGAAGATTAGCTTCGTGAGATTACAACCCGATGGAAGTACCGTCAGGAGAAGATGAGCTTCCGAACACCGCAGCAATTCAAGACTCTCGAGCTTCGACAATTCGACGTGCTTTCTAATCGACCCAAGTGATCTTGAGTCTAACGCCAGGTGTTCTAAGCTCATCTGGAACAACTCGAGTTTAGCACGTCCGTCTTCATCCTCTGCAGTCAGTCCTCCAAAAGCGTTGTAACCCACTTTCCCCCACGTTCCTAAGGGACGCAAAAGAGGTAGTGCCGGATGTTTTTGGTTCTCATGCTCCTTAATTCTAAGGTCCTCGATGTTTGGGGCGCTTCGAACCAAGAACCCAGCTGGCGTGTAAGTGTCGACGTAATCAGTCCGCAAATCAACTGTAAGAGATTCGACATCCGCGCATCGAGACGCTGCTCATGACACTAAATTCTTGTCCTCAAGGTCAATGACATGTCCATCGGGTCGCATTCGACGATAAACCGCTAAGCGCTTTAGTCGTGATTGGTGCTGAAGCAAGGATACCAGCAAAGTCGTATCAAGCACTATCTCATCGTCACCAACCAAAGCGCGCAAACGATCTTGGGGAAATGCGCCGACCACCAGCTGGAGCATGGGATCTATAATGACACCATTTTTCCAACACTCTTCTTTTTCCCAACATCCATTGACGATGAAAAGGTTGCGAACGTGAGGTGTGATACCGTTCTTGGGATTTAGGAGTGTGCCTATCTTCTGCATGGTGATTTTGCTTTTTTGAAGTTTGAAGTTCTCGAAGCAGATAGGCGCCATGACGTCTCGGCATTGGCGATTGGTCAGACATATGGCCAGACAGGGAAGGCGCCAAGTTGAGTGATGAAATAAGTAGGATTCAAGACATGTAAAGCCTTCTGATGAGTGAGACAAGACGTCCCCGCTATCGGCGGGTAGGTGTTCAATCCTGCTAACATTAGGCCCCCATGATACCTTCTAGCCTTGCAGCCATGCTGCATATGCAAGTCTGCACAGCCCGTGCTAGCGCATTTTGCTCAGCCTCAGTACGGCAACCTAGATGATAAAACATCCAGCTCTTTAGCCACTGAGCCAGCCTTCTAAAATCACAAATCCCTGGAGTTATCCTCAAACTTCTATCCCATCTTGTTCGTCATGGTTGACTCTATTCCTCACTCGCCTTCTTCGGACACAGGCATTTGTTGGGAATGCCAAGGCATCCCCACGTCATGTTTTTTCGAAACTGGAGCATCGCTCCGCGATTTGCGATCTGGAGGTAGTGAGGAGTTATTCGATGGCACTTGGGATGAGGTTCGAAAGGGATGTGCTTCATGCGACAGTTTGACGGCTTACTTTGGAGTCTCTATCGGGTCTGAACATGACGCAGGTGATTCTAGAAAATCTCCAACGAAGTATGTAAGAAGCTATTGGACATCTTTGGAGTCTCGGGGAACGAAATTCCCATGCTTCGCGATCGACACTGCCCTGGCAAAGATGACATATTTTGCTCAGAGCAGTATCCTACGATCCGTGCCAGCAAATTTGGGTGATATCATGCTTGCGAAGAGCTGGATATCCAAGTGCCTGCTATCCCATAAGGGAGGTTGTGATCAAGACAGTTCTTCTGGTTTCCCGTTGAAGGTGATCGATTGTGCTTCACGAAAGCTATGCGAAATTGCTCCTGGAACACCATATGTCTGCTTGAGCTATGTCTGGGGCAACGCTTCTGTCGCTCATGAGAGCTCTTCGGCCTTCTTGGGCTGCTTGCCCAAAACCATAGAGGATTCGATATGGGTCACGCTACAATTGGGGTATTCATACATATGGATCGATCGATATTGCATCGATCAACAAGATGATGCCGAAAAGCATCACCTTATCAAAAATATGGGCGCCGTGTATCGAGGCGCAACGCTCACAATTATCGCTGCATCAGGGGACAGTCCGCATAGTGGTCTTCCTGGTATCAATGGAACACCTCGTCGTCAGCAGTATAGCCATGCAGTAGGGACAACAGGTCAACGGATCATCGGCCTTGAGCTACCCGAACACGACATAAGGAACTCGGTCTGGAATACTCGTGGATGGACATTTCAAGAGCTAGTATTATCAAGACGTCGATTATTCTTCACAAGATCACAAATGTACTTTCAATGCAACAACATGCATGGCTTGGAGAATCTACCTTCACGGCACCCGGCTTCACCCTGTCCTGACCCTTCGCTGGGGGCAGGAATAGGTCACGATGATCTTATAGCGTTTCTCAATCTGGATATGAGGCCCACAGTAGAAACACTCTATCGGCAGATTGAGGAATATTATGGCAGGTGCCTGTCATTCCGCGAGGATATCATCAAAGCTGTCACTGGCATCATAAATGCCTTCGAGGTGGGGCAAGATACCGATCGAATACGGGCCACTCAGGTATTTGGCTTGCCGGTATTCTATAGCCAGACGTCGCCTACTTTCTGCTTGCCATCGGAGAAAAAGTGTAGCTCTACAGTTTTCACACCAACTTCGACCTTCGCGTATAGTCTAATCTGGTCTATGTTAGTGTATCCTGATATAGGGTACAGTAGTGTCACAGGTATTCTTTTCCCATCATGGAGCTGGGCTAGCTGCAAAGCCTGTTACTATCTAGCCAACGATTGCATTGTGAGCTGGAATGCTCTACTAGTAAACTTTTCTTGTGAAGAGAGTTTGCAAGTTTGGATTAACGATGATAGCGGAAGGAGTTTAGAATTAGACCACTACATCAAGGCGTTGGGCCAAGAAGGCGATAGATCGCTCGTGCCAAAGATTCATATCAGGAGCTGGGTAGTCTCATGTGACGCAAAACCGTATCAAGATGGCTGGGCTTTGGCCTGGGGTTTCAAGAAGAGAGACTCCACCAAGCTAGATGATCTGGACACTCCACCGAGTTACGACCTGGCCGCGATATACCTTGGAAAACACCCGTCATGGAGAAGAACCGATGATGACAAATGGGATGATGCAGTATTACTGGTAGTAGAGAAGGTCGGCGATTTGACATGGCGCCGAATCGGTGTGCTTCGATGCCCTCGTAAGAGAGTTTCGCATAGGGAACATACTCTTGCCTGGCTCAATCGTATCAAGCGAGAAGGCGGCTGGGAGATGCGCACACTGTGTCTGGTCTAAACTGCCACATTTCGAGGGAGATGAGAATGCTCTGTACCTATGAATAGAACGGGCGAAGAGCATCTTAACACACTGACAATATGGCTGCCCGGCGCTCGAGCGAGAAGGTCAAGACCGCGCCGTCTACCTCCGGCGAGACTTCAGCAGACTTTCCGTCGAAGGGAATCAAGCGCAAGCAATCAGGCTTACGAAAGTGATGGGAAGGGCGGAGTGGAGTCGAAGGAAACCCCTTGCTTAACCATCCCCACCGTGACACCACCTATCCAACAGACCTTCATTTTCCACCCGTCTGGACTGCGCTGAATTTGGCTTGAACACCAAACACCAGCTTGGGCATGATCGCTCTATCTCGTGCCCTTTCAAAGCGCACATACTGCATCACTCATCAATCAAACATTGAGGTCGAGCTCAGCGATATCTTATCCATCGCCTTCCAACCACGCACAAAGTCCACTTCGAAAACCCCACAAAGAGTGGCCAAAACTCAAAGCCCAACAATCGCCGTCATTGCCTTTCCATTCGACTACCATCGCCGCTTTCCGCAATACAGTCACGTCATCAGCAGAAATCCAGACGTCACATTTCTTCACGACCATGACGCACTGGCACGCCATCCATTTCGCAATATGCTACCTTGTCGCTATGCTTCTCGTAGGTTGTATGCTCTCGAATGCGGCTTACGGTCGCGAAAAAAGCCTACGTATACGACAACGAAGGATTGGAATTGGAGAAATAGAGGAAAAGCCTGAAACTGAGGAGAGTAGGCATGAGGAGCCAAGAACGAACAACAGAAAGGGTTTATGCGATCAAAGCATTAGACCTCAAAGACTGCTGTGTAGCCATGTAACGGAAAAACAATGTTTTTGTCGCGTTCTGTATTCTCATTGATCATATTCACCATCACATCGCACCACTTATCAAATGCGCTCAAGTGCCATCCAAGGTGCAGAAACCGCTTCGAAAGGGTCCTAGGGCTTTTCATACATAATAGTGCACTTGGAATCCTAATGAGGCTTTTAATTTCTAGACTTTTAACTTGTGGTTTTTATCTAATTACAATTAAAATGACAGAGACATCTAGCGCTGTGCTATAGTCACGTGCGACTTTACCATCTAGTGAAAACATTTAGGACTTTAAAATTATCCTTAAGAAAGCGAAAATACAAGATTTTGCCCACCGTTAACGGTAAAAGTGCCGTTATTAGTGCTAATAGCTTGTCCATTCAATTTCCAGGTCGCGCCGTCACCGCAGACAGGTAGAGAAACAACACCCTTGGTATTAGCAGGGCTCTCGATCTCTAGGTGGGTGATTTGTCCCTCTGTCGCATTCCACGCAACGTAGATCCCGCCATTTGACACAGGAATTGTGCCAGCTGCCCAAGACAATCCTAGAGTCATGGGCGAAACCTGCCACTCTTGAAAACCAGGTTTGACAGCTGTTGCACCCAGTACGTAGGTACTGAGTTCACCGGTGGGTCCAGACGCCCATGCGTGACACAGGCTGGTGATTGCTCCTAATCCAGGTCCGCCATTTGCGTCGAGGGTTTCCCAGAAACATCCGGTATAGTTCGTACCAGCGGGATCAGCCATCGGGTACCACAGAGAATGGAGCAGCTCATTGGCTACTGTTGCGTCTCCTACAGCGAATGCTGCTCTGAGATGATAAGCGGAAGCATATGGGCTGATGAGTTTTCGGAAACCGGCAGCAACGGTACCGTTGGAGAATGCTAGAGGTCCACTTGGTGTGGAAAGTTCTGACAAAGTGCTCAACACTTGCGACGAAGTGTGATCTGAGTTCGTTACTCCTGCAAGAATGGCAAGGGCGTTGCTGTCTTGTCCAAAGCTATCTGTTAGTGCTTCAGAAATATAAAAGGCTCCAAGTTCGCTATTCCAGAGATGGGTGTTGATTGCAACGCGGAGTGCATCCAAACGAGACCGATATGTAGTTATGTTGACACCCGCATCATCTAACATGGTGAGAGAGGACTGGAGCGCATAGGCGTAGACCATGTTGAACTTCGTCACAACGCCGCTTTGTGAAGGGTCGTAATAGTTCCAGTCGCCACCGAAAGCAGGATTAGAGATGTTAAACAGCCCGTTACCAGGAAGGACCTGAGAATCTGCCCAGTCTAGCATGCGAACAACTTTGGGTGCCCACTCCTTCGCAATGCTCGTGTTTCCTGTATACTGGTAGAAATTGGCGACTGCTGTGACCATGTTGAAGGAGTAGCCGATAAGTCCAGTGATATTGCTCTCGAGGGGCTTAGAATATGGCTCCTGCTGGATTTTTGCGGTCGGACTGAAGAAACCAGGTGTCATCTGCGAGGAGCCCAACAGCTCTAGAGTCCCCATGATATACTCAACACCAACTGTGCTAACCATGGTAGAGCCAACAGCGACATCAAGATCTCCAGCGTAGGAAATACGGTCGCGTTTTGAACCGTCCACAGCGGTGGCGAGAGGATTAGTGCCCATGAGAAAGTCCGGAAGGAACGAGGTGTCCGTCAGCTGTGCCGAGTATTCAAAATTGACTGCTGGGCTAGCCAAGGTGAAATTGCGGAACATTGCAGACTGACCAAGAGCAGCGCCTAGTCCAGAGGAACCGAAAAAAGCGTAGGTCTGCGAAAATTCCAACACCTTGGTCGAGCCGAGGTAGATGGATATCAACTCAGCACTGATAGCAGCCTTCACATGGTACCAGTTCCCGACCGTGATGTTGGCTGGCAGAGTAGCAAATGCGAGGAAGTCGGCACTCTCTGAAGACCCCGAGTTCGCGCTGATCGACCCATTGGCGATGTTGCACCAAATGTAGACACCATCGTTCAGAGTACTTGCGAGAGCAGAGAACGAGAAACCACCAGCGATATGTTTGACGTCGAACTCGATCTCGTAGTCCATGAGCGACGACGCAACGACACCGGACAGGCTTTGCGGCGCTAAACTGTGCACCAACGATCCCTCAGAAGACACTTCCCAGAAATCAGGAATGGAACGTGCAGGAATCTCGTTCATTTGGACTGTTCTTGCGCCCACGTTCCAAATCTGATTGATTCGGTCGTCGGAACACTGAAAAGACCCAGGAAGCGAAGCGATGGGCGTTGTGGATATCGATGGTTTCACGCCTACTTTGGCCAACACCATATCGCCTGGAGTCAAGAGTGCCAACTTTTGGTAGCGAAATCCTCCCTGGATGAGTCTGTTCGTTTTGTTCGTTGGCTCGGTAATGTTGTAGTTGTTAATCCGATAGGTATCCATGGCAGCGGCCAGTCCAAGCGGGCCATCGCTCTACAAGAATCAGCTAATTGTACACGTTTATTTGCTATCGGAACTCTTACAGTAGGAGAACTCAGCAACACAGCAAGAGATTCGCTATAAGTAATTTGGAGCCCCGACGTGTCGCCGCTAACACTAATAATCTCAAATGTTGGGAAGCCTTCAACGTTGGCGCCATAGTCGAGGATGACTTCAGATGTAGATGAGTTGCCCTTCAGTGTGATGGTACCATTAGAACCAAGGATGATAGTTGTTGCATCGCTGGCTAATCCCTCTGCGGATGCAGGATTCAAGCCAGCTAGCACATTAAGTGCTAGGCCAAGCGCGAAGAGGCGCATCGTACCAGTCGAATTAAAGGTATTATTGTGTAAGTTCAACGAGAGTAGGTGGTCACGAAAGATTCGTAACATAACCGTACAAACAGTACTTCAAGGTTATGTAGACGTTGAGAAACGGCATGTGCCGGATCGATCTACGTGCTAAGTTGAAATATTACCCGTAGTAGCATATGAACGAAATACGAAATACGAGATACGCAACGCTAAGGCCTCAGCGCAGACGAAGCACTACTAAACTAAAGCATCTGTTATGTAACGCCCAACCTGGGTCTGTCGCAATAGGAACCTACTATTAATTGTTCACCTACCTGTCTAACAATATCTAAGTGTTCTAATGTATTCCACGTTGTTATACCTAAACTATAGGTGCCTTGGTATTAAGCAGCTAACTAGGTAGATATAGTAGAATTAGTCTACACGAAGTCACGACTATTGGCATGGAGAGGACTGAGGTTGAGATCTGCGGAGATTAGCTACAGGAGATACGGACTTCTACGGCAGCCGAAACCCCGGGTCTTAGCGTACCTAACATACAGCACTTTTAAATCTAGATTCCTCGTCCCCCAAGAAGAAGTCCACGCACGCCCTGCTAAAATCAGCAAAAGATACTCTCTATTGACTCTCGATATTCCTATACTACCTCTACCTTCGCAGAACGGTTTGGCCATCGATGTCGCGAGTCACCAGATCCAAGAGCCGCACCACCTACAGCTCAGTCACCGAGAGCGAGACGTCTGAACTCAAGGGACAGCAGCACTGGAGTCCTACCGATGCATCCACAGCTCACGAGTTTGGTGGTCCGTTTGGCATGTTGGGTATGATGATTGGATTTCCTCTACTCATGTACTTCATGTGGGCAGGCGCTGTCTTCTACGACGGGCAGATTCCGAGACCAGCACAGAACGAGTCTTTCGCCGCTTTCGCCCAGCACCTCTGGTTTTTGATTAGGACTGAAGCGTACCCTAATAAGAGGGCTTGGTGCATCTACTGGTCCTTTGGGTTCACGCAACTCGCCTTCTACGCTCTACTTCCTGGTGTTTATCGCAAGGGCCAGCCCCTGCCGCATCTAGGTGGGAAGCAGTTGGACTATTACTGCTCGGCTATGTGGTCTTTTTATACGAGCGTCGCGCTTGGTGTTGTCTTGCACTTTAGTGGTTACTTCAGGCTGGATGTGTTGATCGGCGAGTACGGACCCCTGATGAGTGTAGCGATCATCTCTGGGTTTCTATGCTCTTTTGTTGCATACTTCTCAGCTATTGCACGTGGTGCAACGTTACGTATGAGTGGCAATCACATTGTCGACTTTTTCATGGGAGCGGAATTGAATCCGAGGATGTTTGGCATCCTAGACTTTAAGATGTTGGTTGAAGTCCGCATTGCGTGGTTTATCCTCTTCTTCCTCGCGTTGAGCACATGTCTCAAGCAGTTCGAAGAATACGGATACGTGTCTGTACAGGCGTGCTTTTTGCTCATTGCGCAATATCTTTATGCTGGAGCGTGTGCCAAAGGAGAGCATTTGATTATTACTACCTGGTATGTCCAAAACAATCACTGCAAGAACGTTCTAGTCGTTTTTCTTTTCTGACTTGTTGCAGGGATATATACTACGAGAAGACAGGTTTCATGATCCTTTTCTGGACAATGGCTGGCGTGCCATTCTCGTACGCTCATGCTATCCTCTACATAGCTAACCACGAACCCAGCCAGTACCAGTGGCCATGGTGGTTCGTACTTGCCTTGCTCATCCCTTATCTTGGCGTTTACTATGTCTGGGACACTTGCAACAGTCAAAAGAATCAGTTCCGGCAAGAGGAGCGCGGTGTAGTAGACGAACGAACCACATTTCCCTATTTCAAAAAGGGAAAGATTCAGAACCCGAGGACGATCGAGACAAGTTACGGTAAAAAGTTGCTCTGCGATGGCTGGTGTAAGAAACTTTCCGATTATGAGATCTATCTGCCCCTTTGCTGATTGTTGACAGATGGCAAGGCGCGCAAAATCCATTACTCTTGCGATATCTACTTTGCTATTAACTGGGGGCTCATCACAGGCTTTGCATCGCCATTTCCATGGTTCTATCCTGTATTCTTCACCATCATGATCATGCACCGCGCATTACGCGACAATGCCAAATGCCATGACAGGTATGGCAAGGCTTGGGAGCAATACACAAAAAGAGTTCCGTATATCTTTATACCAGTAGGTCGCTACTTGTTTAACACTAGCCTGAATGATACTAATCAGAGATAGGGCGTTGTCTGAGCATTATTCAGACGCTTATAGTGGTCACCTGGGCGCTCAGGTACGTAACTAAGATATCGTCGAGAATTTCTGGGCTCTGGTCTATAACAACGGATTCTAGAGACATTTTTCCAAGCGTATAGTTTGCATAGTGCGAATATTTACATTGAAAGGGTTCTAGGACTTTTCATACGTAATAATACAGTTGACATCTCAGGCATCCACAACTCTAAATCCACCACTCATCTACCTGACCAGCAAGAACAACCTCAAGACTGGATGAGTCATCTGGAATACACTGACACCCCCCGGAGACCGAATATGTACAGGTGCCATTTCTGGCATAGGGAAGGGCGGCGGCATGTGTAAAGCTAGCGTACAGACTTTGCCAGCGAACTCATGACGAACGTCGTAGACGAAAACTGTTGATACAGTAGGCGGTAGCTGGACGGTATATCCATTGCCAATGACTTTAGTTGAGTCCGCCTTGTCGGTAGGAACGAGTTGGTGCGAATACTCGAATGGTTCTTGGAGCGAGGTAAATATTGGTTGCGGTAGACTTTCAAGACTGTCAAGATGAAGAAGTATGGAAGAGACGGGCGAGGATATCGAAATTGAACTCTGAATTATTGGGGTTGACCGATCAAAGCTAATTACTGGGATGGTGACGATTGTGGGCTGGGATGTCGGGGCATCTACTTGCGCTTGTTGCAAGTACCAGATCCGCTCTCACAACCGGTACCGCAGTGTCCGGCAGTGTTTCCGCACCATCCGTACTGCGAGCAGCAGTTACCGAATGTCGAGCCAGTGCAAGTAGCACCGCCCTGAGATCCGCAAGTACCATCAGTAGAGACCTTCTTGGTAGGAGCCGGGGTGGAGCCTCCGGAGGTTGCAGGGCAAGAAAGGTCGAACAAAGGCTTGACCGCCATGAGGTCACCTGCAGGCTTGATGCCGAACGAGGGGACGGGGTTGCCGTACTGGACATCCTGGAGGATGTAGTACCACAGGTTAACGTTGTCCTTGATGAGCTGGCAGGTGACATCCTCCCAGTAGATGCGGGCATTAGCCGCACTGGGGACACCCTGGTTGAGCGTCTCGCCGCTAACGGGCCACCCGGTCTCGGTGATCCAGACGGGCTTACCCTTGGCTTGAACCTGGTGGTAGGCGTCGAAGAAGAGCTGGCTGCCGGATCCGACGTTGTTGTTCATGGTGGTCTGGAAGTAGGGGTAGGCGTCCATGCCGATGAAGTCAACAGCATCGATGACGGGGTTGTTGGTGGCGTTGACGTAGACGGTCCAGGTGTCGACGTGGCCGATGGGCTTGCCCTCGAGAGGAGTACCCTTGATAGCAGCACGGGTTTGCTTGATGTAGTTGACGAGCTCCTGGGGCTGAGCACCGGCGCCGGACTTGTTCTCGATACCGGTTGGAGTCACACGGTAGAGGTCCTCGCTACCGACGGAGATACCCTCGACAAGGTCGGTGAAAGCAGTGCCGTACTGGGCAATGGCGGCCTTGAGAGCAGTGATTTCGTTGTTGAAGTTGGCTTGACCGGCGGAGGCCCACATGCCGAGTAGGAGGTTGGTCTTGGTGTTGATAGCAGCCTGAATAGCCTCGATGACAGTGGTCTGGGTGCCGTGCTGGATCATAGTATACAGACGGGCGCTGTTCCATCCACTGGTGCCAGGAAGCTGCTTGGCGGCGTTGAATTCATATTCAAAGTCGACGCGCGTCTTGGCCTGGTTGTTGTTGAAGTTTGCGCCGTAGTTGAAACCCTTGATGGCAGCGTTGGCCGAGGTGAGAAGGCCGGCTGTGGCGAGGATGGTAGAGGAGATACGCATGATTGTGGTATTAGGTACAAGAAGACGATATTAAAAGTGTAGAATGAAGTCTTGAGAAGGGTTGGGGAAAAAGGCGTGCGTGAGAGATTTCAAGGTGGGCATGGCGAAGTATTTATTTGCCAGTGACGTCTTGTGGCTTCTAGACGTCGCTGCCGTCGTAGGTCTTTTCATCGGACGTGCATTAGCCGCACGGTCAAAGCAAATTAGTGCCATCTCGAAGAAGCAGGAACGCGGATGCCGGCGGTGATCCCCATCCTTGTTCCTGATTAAGCAATCTTGGCATGCACCACGACAATCCTTTTTCTTACATGCGTTCACCCCTTGCATCCCATCGTCTAATACTGCTTTCATGGCGCGATATCGACTGAAGAAGCCTTCCAAGCATTCTAGGAAGCCTGATGCAGCAAGACAAGGAACGACTGTTTTGCCCCGGCCTCGCTAATCATTGGTCCATGTGGAGACGGCAATACTCAACAGCCTAGCAGCGACGTCAAGCCCCCGGTATAACGTCGTATCCGGATAAAAATAACTCGCAATCGACAACATCCCCGCTGCGGGAGATGAGCTACACATCTCGATTATCCTGCGTGCAACATGGCACATGCAAGAATTATCGAAATATATCGATGTCTGAGTGGCTGTACTGATCAATAGTTTTCTTGCTAGCGAGTGCGACTGCAGCATACGAGTGTCTAGTCGACACATGTCCTCGTGTCATCATCACTTGACGTCGCGCGCTACCATGGTTGGTGATTCGTTGTAGACAGGACGGCATCGGGGCTGTCGTTCATTCATGGCCGAGATTCCAGAATGTGGTGACGTGGATAGCGCTGCTGGTCCGAACTCAGGAGAAACGGTGCGGACGCCAGGGATATTTGATCCGAGCTATGACGCGCATCATCGGCTTTCGATCCGCGGATGGTGAGGCGAAAACTCAATGCCAACATTGGGACGCGTAGTCGATGCTGGAAAGAGAGAGTATGATGCGGAGCATTTCTCCAGCCGTTTGGTCTCTTGGTTGGCGTTTCGATCCGGCGCTACATGCGCCAATGTCGCGATTCGGTAGCGCTAAGCTTTTACCCCTACCAGGAGTTTGGTATGGAGACGGAAGCTTGATCAATCAAACAGGCACTTGGAGCACCCTGCGACATGTAGAAGTCTAGAAGATAGCGGGTGGGTATCGTGGCTGTGAAATCCTTCGCGAAGGCCCCTTTGTTCCGCCGGGAGCCCAGCCACGGGCACGGTAATGAGGGATGGACCGTTCGCCTTTATGAACGCCATGGGCCTGACATTACCGAGACTTGTCTCTAGGCTACGCGAAATGCCTAAAGAGCCAGCCGACCTTGCCTTCGTACTTGCACCAAATTATCGCACCACCTCTCATTGAAGCGTGATCTGGCACAGAAACACGTTACGAGGAGCACTGGATGGGTCCTGAGGGCAGCGCAAGGACACAACCATCGTTGACAAGCTCAGTAATGCGATTATGAGGGTTGCAATATAGTGCTCCGAAATATTTGAGCCCTTCATTTGTAACGCAATTCTACTGACCGTCAGTTGGAGTTTGGCGGCAAACCCAGCAGGTCAACAGAATCGTCAATTATATCAGGACGTTGAGCTCCCATCAAGATACGTCGTGAGCAATTTCTTAGAGCCGTGGGAAGCCATGGCTCATAATTCCTCTTGTTGTCAATAGATGGTGTCGTGAGGTACCCGGCAGAGCGACAATAGGCCCTGAAGGTAATGCTGAAAGTTTTGCTTTGACTCTTTGATCGTGACTTTGGACGGACGACTCGACATAGCAGTTGCAAGGCAAAACGAAGTCGCCAGCAGTGGGAGTCACGGTGTTGATGAGGAGCGCGCATTCGGATTACCAGCTCAAGGTCTTGGCATCCCGCCCTAGCGCGACCTCGCGGCTCATGTTGCCTGAAGCTCTAGCTAGAGAAACATCCAAGTCGCCAACGACAAGTCGGCAACACCTCACCACCGCCTTCACCCCTGCAACTTACATTCCTCTTCCTGCGACTTAACACGAGTCTCCACCCGCAACCTTCTTCGACTTCTCCGCATACACCGCCGCCATGGTACGCTTGATTGAACCCCGCTGGAGCTCTTGTACTAACACGACCAGTTCATAGCACGAAGCGAATATGGTAAGCTCTCTAACAGCTTTGAACAAGAGGACGTGTGCTAACAAAGTGTGACAGACCGTGGTATCAAGTTCGTCCACCCCTCGTCTCCCACGACAAGACCGCCCGCTCACAAACACACAGCACCTTCTCGCCCGAAGGCCGTCTCTTCCAAGTCGAATACTCACTAGAAGCCATCAAGCTCGGCTCAACAGCGATAGGCGTGCGTCTTCTCTAAATCCATACCCACATCCATACCCTGCCCTCTGCAATCCGCCGTCAAGCCCGAAGACCAACTCACAATCCCCAACAGGTAGCAACAGGCGAAGGCGTAATCCTCGGCGTAGAGAAGCGCGTAACCTCGACTCTCCTCGAGACCTCCTCCGTGGAGAAGATTGTCGAAATCGACCGCCACATTGGCTGTGCCATGTCGGGTCTGCAGGCCGATGCCCGCAGCATGATTGAGCACGCGCGTGTGGAATCCCAGAACCACGCTTTCAACTACGCGGAGCCGCTGCGCGTGGAGAGCTGCACGCAGGCGATATGTGATCTGGCGTTGAGGTTTGGTGAGGGTGCCGAGGGCGAGGAGAGCATCATGTCAAGGCCGTTTGGTGTGGCGCTTTTGATTGCGGGATATGATGAGGACGGGCCGAGTCTGTATGTCACACACACACAACATTTCCCCCGCCTTGACAAACGCACTTCCACCCCTACTGTGCTGTCTACAGGGAAGAAACTAATAGTAATCACAGCTACCACGCCGAGCCCTCGGGCACATTCTACCGCTACGACGCCAAAGCCATCGGCTCCGGATCCGAGGGCGCGCAGGCCGAACTCCAGAACGAATTCCACAAGTCGCTTACCCTGCCCGAAGCCGAGGTGCTCACGCTCAAGACGCTCAAGCAGGTCATGGAGGAGAAGCTGGATAGCAAGAATGTGCAGTTGGCGAGTGTGACCAAGGACAAGGGATTCAGAATCTACACTGATGAGGAGATGGCCGAGGTTGTTGGAAGGCTGCCTACGAACTAGACAGAGGTCTGAGTTTGGTCTCTGGAAGGGGAGCGGGCATAGCCGCAGGGGTGGAGCTTGAGAGATGGATGGCGCCCGGCTGAAGGAAGTCTGGTAGATGGGCATATGATAGCATCTCGAGCCATGTGCTTGGGTGATGTGAAAATGAAGCAATGACCAAACATGTTCGCAGATCCTACGAGTGGCAAAATTGTCATGCAAATCAATTTTCGTCACAAACGCAATCATCATCACCATCACAGCAGTATCAAATCATGATAAAGGGCACCAGCGAAACAACTCCAGAACAAAGACAAAAGCGGTCTAAATTTCCCTTTCTTTTTCGCAATGCCCGTGTGTAATTATACAATTCCTGACTTTAACATTGCCTCTCTCCTAATACTCCCCTTTGCCCAGTAGTTATATCGAGCAAAGTAAGACCAGAAGAAGAAAGCTCAGAAAGGGTTATCCTCAGGCGGTATCTCGTTGGTGAAGAACTTGTCGAGAACGGGAATCTTCTTCATGATGTCGTCGCGTACCTTGGGTACCTCGGCGAAGAAGAAGAGGGCGAAGAAGCCGGCTACACCGCCGAAACCGGCGGCGAGGACACCGTACTTGGCGGCTTGGTTGAGGGTGAGACCGTGGTAGTTCTTGGGGATGGTGTATCTGTGGGTGGGGAGATGGTGTTAGCTTGAGTGGCATGGAGGGGAGGAGTTGGTATATGTGGAAGGACGGGTGGTAAGTTGATGGCGCGGGTTGTTGGGTGGGTTGACGTCTTCGTCCTTCTTTGGCGTATGGGTTTCGGTATGGAACATCCAACGCCGATGCAATTGCTCGTGCGAGACCGTCGTTGTATATCCTCCTCTTCTTTCCACAGCTCTCCCTTCTACCAACAACAATATTCGTCCAACCCCGTCGTCCGCAGTCCGCCCACCACCCATCTCCTACGCCATTGTCGTGTCGTAACATGGAAGAAAACCAACTTACTGAGGACCGAAAGGACTCCTGTAAGCCTTGTACGGGCTGCGCATGCTCTGTGAACAAGTTGATTAGCTTCCATTATCCTTTCTTTCTTCCATTTCGTCATCGGCCTTTCCAGCGTCCTTTTTCCCTTGTTCCCTCTTCTCGCTCCAATTGCGCGCGCCAGGGAGGGTCAACACTTACGACGGCAGCGGGCGTCTTGCCATGGTGGCCGAAGGATGAGACAGACATCTTTGGCGGTCGGGTTGGGGGGTACGGTCGCGCGTGGGTGTGGATGTGGGTTTGGTAGGTGAGGTCGATGGCGGCAGAGAAAGCGCGGGATCGCTGGGCTTGGCGGAATTCGGGAGCATGGGCGAATCAGGTGAGGCGGGATTTTGCGGGTGCGGTGTCAGCGGGTTAGGTTTTTTGACGGTTTGGGGAAGAACATCAACGTTTGTTCATGGTTTGGAATGAACTGTGCATATCGTTTTGTTTCCCCTCCTTGCGATGAAGTCTTCCATGTAAGATTTATTCGATGGCTGAATTGTCAGTGGCAACTTGGAAGCAGGACTCATGCGCGGTCCCCACGACGAGCGAAAGAGGTAGCTGAACGCATCTTTTCTCCATCCTTTACGCATCGATGCACGGTCTGTACAGAATCATACAACACATTGCAGATTCGAACAACATGATCCTTTGGTTTGTCAAGTAGAGACAACGTCCATGCCAAAGCCTCTTTCCCTGAGTCGTCTTTTCTTTCTTTGCTAGTGACCGAGTGTCGTAGCAAAAGATCTAAACGACAGAAACGGTGGTCCAGGCAGCTATCTTAAACCATAATTCCGCAATGAGTCTTCTCTGTTCCAATAATTATGATGTAGTCTTTTCTACTGCCATGGCTCGGAATACACGACAAGTTGACCAGGTTAGCCTTGGCATTGCGTTGACCAGCAAACGCTCTCACCTTCACTTTGGGTAAGAGGCGGTCTCGCTAGACAGTCGAAATCGTCTCCTGTAATCTTTACAACTTCTTGTTTACACCATCGTCGCGAGAAGAGAGCAAGCAGGCACTTCGGAAGCGGACGGGCCAGTCTCTCTACAAGCCTTTCTGTCGACACCCACTCTCCGATATCATGTCTTTCAACACAGTGGACGTGTTGCACTTGTCAGATCCCTCTACTGCCTGGAGTGCGATTCATTGGCATGTTATCCACCGTGAGCGGTTCGCTCGCAACTCCGGGAATATACATGCATCCGTCATGGCCGAAGCAGCTAGAAAAGTTGAGGGAGTCTCAAAGACTAGGGGATCTGCTCAAGTCCGAGAAACCAGCAAGACCAAAACCACGCAGCAGGCCGAATTCCATCCTTTCAGCCGACTACCCGCCGAGCTCCGCGCCAAAATATGGGCTATCGCACTAGAGGATCAGAAAGAGCAAGTACCAGATCATTGGTCTTTTGGTTTCGGTTACGGCAACACGGTAACCATTCATGAGCACGAAGAAATGGATGGGGAGAAACAGTCAAGTATCATGTCAACACGCGGCTACCCCACTCTCTTCGCTGTCAACCGCGAAGCTCGCTATGAGGCTGGCAAAGTTGACGGAGGTGCATGGTATGAATGGGGTACTGACGCTCGAGAGGTCTACGTGAATCTAGACAAGGAGAGAGTATACCTTGCGACATGCTGCAACAGCATAGGATGGTCTACAGAAACTCACCTTCGTTCCAAAGCACACGGGACCACAGATTGCATCCACCCCTGGAACTCGCAACTCGAGAAAGACATGATTATGATTAGGGATCTCATTGGCTGAACCCGACTCAAAGAGCTTGAGCAACGATCGCATCAAATAAGTCCAGCCGCTCCGGATATTTGAACGGGAGCTGATAGCGTACATGCACAGAGACCGTTGAGCAGAAACGAGGTTGGTGATTGCCATTGCTACTTGGTGAACAAGACTATGTATGTATGCTCTTTAATTGCCGATATCAAGGTGGAGACGGTTCTTTAGCTTCGAGACAGCCTGTAACTAAACACATTACGAAGAATGGAATCACAGTCCTCGGAGATTGTTTTAAATTCCTCATGCACTTTCATTTTTGTGATCAAACTATAAGTCTGCGCAACACCATGACACATCCAACCTTACCCTTCGCGTAACACTTTTCAATCTGGTCCTTCACCTGCTTTTGGTTTCATCCTGCACGCAGCATTGCATGTGACGAACCACATATATCTAGTTTGTCTTGCTCTTGTCTTAATTTTCGTAAGGAAATGAACGACAATATTGGAACACATCGATAGAGTCTCAGACAACGCTCAGAACATTGCGACCAGGACGCAAAGACTTCACACCAAAATGACCTATAAGAGAGGCCGTTCAAGCAGCTCTATTCTTACATATCTGCCATCACGTCATCGATCATCTCTCACGCAGCCGGATAAAGCAAAAGTCTACATACACTACTGTAGAGCATTCTGACATTGGCCCTACATGGCGAACATACACCTACTCCAACAATTCTTTCAGCTTGTTATAACTATCTGTCTAGTCTTGATAGTTCGACATATCATCGCAAAACATCTAAATACGGTCCGCAGGATTGAAGCCGCTTTTGTTATTACCGCTACTATTGTTGGTATCAGCTTCCTTGTGTACATCGTCATCGCAAACATGCTAGAATTTGCGGGAATCCAAGGCCAGCTTGAGTTGCAGAACAACAGAATAGCGAGATGGATAAATGAAGCGCAGACACAGGGTTGGAATGCTTGTAAGGATGTGTGCAAGCATACATGTCGCGACACCATTCAGCGATCTTATCGTCCGTTGTGGCTACCTCGTCTGTAATGTTACGACGACAGATGCAGTTGGGTGTATTGAGGGGTTTGGACTAACTCTAGGGAATGCGAAGGACTTTGTGGAAGTTGGATGGAGACAAGGTTGGAAGAAGTGAACAGAAGTGAGGAGGGAAGTTGGGAAGGTAGGTATCAGATGGAGAAACGTGGTAAAAATGATCGAGGGATGATATTTGAAGAATTGATGTTTGTGGGATAGACCTAGACGTAGTAAAGCAAGTACCATTTGTGGGATATATCAGATTGCATCAACTCAGCGCATTTAGATTGTTTCATTCTCTCACCGCAGTCAAGAAATACAAACTCGCCTTCTCTTACTGGACAGATCACCAAGTGTCACCCGACTCATTCATGGGTACTTTTGCAATCTTCCCATCCCATGTCAAAACCTCTAGGTTTAACCTTCCCTTTGCCTTTCCATCGAACCAAGCAGCTAGGTCACGTACAGTTCGCGGAGGATCCCCGTACTTCCCTTCCTGAATAAGAGATTGTGGCATGGATATATCGGAATGTTCAGATCGGATCGTCGTTGGCGATGGTGATTGTGGCGATGGGGGATGAGCGATAGTAGAAGATTTGTTGAGGGGAAGATAGAAAACGGTTGCAGACAGTGCTGGGTAAACTTGGAACATTGCGAGGTAGTAATGTCTACGGCTTCGATGGACAAACGTTTGGAGAAGTGTATGGGGGATAACGTGATGAAATTGACAAGACGCATTACGAACGACGGTGATGGAATCACGACTAAAAGGAGATCTCATGACGCAGAGAGACAAAGGCACTTGTGATCCATCAGTGCGCCATGTTTTCTAGCAGTGTATCAGAGGCACATAGACAAAGAACCGTTCATGGTGAGACACAAGAATCGCGAAAACACGCAAAGAAGGACTTTTAGCCCGGAACTAAGACATATCGTCTTGATGGTAATAACATTCGCATTAACAGTAGTTTCTGCAGTCTTGTGTATTGCTGCACGGGGGTATAAATGACTCTAAAGAAAACGTGAACTTTTGGTGATCGTAGCACCGTAATATACAAAACACGTATCATCCGATGCTCAAGCACCCTTCTCTGACTTCTTGAACAAGTAGCGCATAGCCTGGACACGCTCCTTGATCGTCTTCGACTGCGTGACTTCGTAGAGTGGCTTATGCTCTTCGAAGATATCGTGCTCGCTTTCGTAGTCGACGTGTACGTAGGCTCGCTCAACATCGGCGAGGCCTTCGAGCTTCCTCTGCAGGGTCTGCGAGACGTCATGGGTGACCTTTAGCGGTAGGTCTTCATCCATGACAATGTCTACCTCGACGTAGTAGTTTTGCCCAGCGTGGTATGCGCGGCAGGTATCGACCTTTTGGATTCTGCTGTCGTGTGTGACGACAAGATAGATCAACTTGCTGATGTAGTCCTTTGGTGCCGATTTTCCAACGAGCAACCAAACGTGGTCGAAGGCGTTGGCAGCCCAGGAAACGAGAATCAAGAGACCGATGAGAATGGCACCGATAGGATCGACATACCAGACAACTCGGCTACCGACGATGGACATGGCAAGACCGAAAGCATTGACGATGATGTCGTTGCGATGGTCGATAAAGAAGACATGGACCGCTGGGTAGCGTCGATAGAGGAAGCAGTAGACGCAAAGTGAGCCCTTGCAGAAGATGGCTGTCGCGACAAAGGCGATGGGGATGATGTGGAGTTCCTCTGATTCAGTGGCACCACCAGCCAAGGCACGCCCAGATTCGATCTTGTTACATGTTAGCCGCCTCCTCATCTACCCAAGACAAGCACTTACGATTAGTTGGATAGCGACCGTTGTCATCAAACAACAGAACATGATGATGCCAATCGTCTCAATGCGGGTCCTCCCCACGGGGTACTTGTACACGCTTGGCCGTGCCGCCATGCGAGATGTGATGAGCATGACTACCGAAGAGACCAGGTCCATGAAAGCGTCCGCAGCTGTCGCAAACAGCGACAGCGATCCTGTCGAGACGGCAGCATACAACTGGATGACGAACAAACAGAAGTTGACGACGAAGGAAGCGTTGACTGCAAACCGAACCTTTGGTCCATTCTCGAGCTGGTCAAGAGCAGCTAACCGCTCCTCATCGCCGCTCTGGAGGAACTGGTCGATCAAGGCATTCTGTCTTGTGTAAAACTTCTTCATGTGTCTGGGCTTGGCGAGCGGATGGTCTGCCTTCATCTGTTTTTGGGTGACATCGTCTCGACGGTGTTTACCAAGATCGAGTGGGTCGCTGTTGACGACGATAGTGACATCGTCCTTGGCTTCCCGCGACGATGCACTGTCTACAGATGGCAGGCGTTCAATGACATCTGACCTATGCTCGGCGCCGACATTGGCCTGGTTTGACGATGCTGTAGGGCCGGCGATCACTGGAGCGCTTGTTTGCCCGGCAGCTTGGTCTTGTGCTGGGCCATTAGGTGAAGCTAATCGGACTGTCAGACAAGAGAACCACGGCTTTGGGTTGCCTGAGACGTACTGTGAGCGTCGGAAGACATGGTGTCCGGAAAATGAGCTGAGCGACGCGTATGCGTTTGTGTATGTGTGTATGGGCGATCTCTAGGATCTTGTGGTGCGAGGAGGTTACGAAGTGGGTGATATATGCCTCAGTGTCGGGCAAGCATGTGTAATAAAGCAACACTGCGAACGCCACCCGCGGCGCTCTTCCCGCTCACCTCCGCTTGAGTTTCTTTCTTTGAACCCTAAAGTCATGGTAGAATGGCCAGATCGTTTGCACGTTGCCAATTTCCTGTCAGATTGTGTGAATGCTGCACATTGGTGCAGGTGTAGGAATGCTCGGCGCGGAGCATGAAACTCGCTAAGCCTTCTCAACGCCTCGCTACTACATCTGAGGTTAGGGCAATACCCGATTGGGGAGAGGCTCGAAGAGCTTGGCCTAATCTTGATACCTTAAATGGCTTGGCTCTCTGCATGCGCGGAGGCGTGCTGAAGATGCTCACGAGTACGCGTGTGCTGTGGATGTGCGATGCTAGCGCGATCTAAACTGACCGGAAATTTTAGGTGCTAAGACGCGCAGAAAAGCTTGTCCAAAGACGAGTATTTCCCCGCATACATCGCGATGGATCAAGTGGGTTTGATGGAGTCGTTGATGCGGCGGTCGTGATGACTCGGCCACGTCGCAAGTCCTCCAGGGCCGACTATTCCTTCCCCTGCGCTCTACGGGTAAAGTCCTCACACAACGAACAGGAATAGCGCGTAACGCAGTGATCGTCACGGATGGATTGCATCGGCTATACGCGTGGGTCCATAGCGAACGCCATCTATACCCCACAAAGCTTTCTTTTACGTCTCTCCAAGTTTCAAAACTCACAACGTCGGACGATGCCAAGCTTCTCCTCTCCGGCACGAAACCATGCCGATCTTGGCCCATACACGTCAACGCAATCGCGAAACGTGCCATTGGCCAACCTCATTTGTGTGCTGAGCCACTTCGATACCTCAGCTGCAACAGATGGTTGCAGTCAAGCCTCACCCCTAATGATTGGCACCTCCACACTTCGTCAGCTGTCCCACCCGCTGTCCACTCAGCACCCACTCGCTGTCCCACTCGACGGAAACGAGACTTGAGCCGCATCACATCCCCACCCCTTCGCAGATCGAGCGTGCCTGCCAAGCATCTACTCGCATGACAGCCATCTCCAATGAGCTTCGTCGTCTCGGCGAACAGCAATTCCAATTCCAGCCTTGCTGCCTCATAGCAATGCTTCTTTTGTCTTTGCCACAAGGCTGGCTGGCCCTGGCACCGTCTGGACCTCCGCGTTTGCTGCGTGAAGCACCTATCACTAGAGACGGTATCTGAGGCACAGGCCACTGTATGGAGGTCCCACTTTCGTCTTCAGGTGTTCTGGAGACTGTGCTGATCAGCATGATGCGGTTAGTGTCTCTTATCCTACCGGCCCTCAAAGCAATACATAGTCTGCAATGCCGAGCCTATTGCCCCATACCTCACAACATCAGTTCGTTGCATTTTGAGTTTCTGTTACTCTTTGAGAGAGTGTGTTGAGTTGCTTTCTTTCCTCTTTTCTCTTCTCCATCTCTTTTTTTCTTGTTCATCGTCGCCGGCGACGGGACTGCTGGCAAGTCTGGGATTACTCCGTACATTCCTTGAACTACACATTTACCCATTTTGTAATTCGCAATGGCCGACATGGAGAAACCGCAGTGTGGCAGTGATGCGGATGCTGCTGCTTACGACTTTCCTCTGCACGTTGCTGCAGTTTGTAAGTACATACGAGGCAATCTGATGGTACATCACTAACACGTTCCAAGTCATTGTATTCATTGCTTCCATCTTCGGTGCTGGTTTCCCAGTAGTGGCAAAGAAGATCAAGTGGATGAAGATCCCGCCAAAGGTCTTCTTCTTCTGCAAGCACTTTGGTACTGGTGTGCTCATTGCCACTGCCTTTGTCCATCTGCTGCCTACCGCCTTCGCATCGCTCAATGACCCATGCCTACCGGATCTATTCACCGAAAAGTACCCAGCTCTACCAGGTGTTATCATGATGGGCTCTCTTTTCATTCTGTTCGTGATTGAGATGTGGCTCCATGCGAAGACTGGCGGTCACAGCCACGGAGGTGCAACAGGCGAAGCATTCAACAGCGCACAACACTCCACCACCGGCATCCAGGCTCAGTTCAACAACCCCATTCGACGCGTCGACAGCTACGATTCGCAAAAGACGATGCTGGCTATGCGGGACGAGAAGCGAGGATGGACTCAGGAGTCAACTTACCCCGTCGACAACTTCCCGTTCCCTAAGAGCGAGAGCGACGAGCTCGAGGCCAAATCTGAAATGCCACCATGGTTCATCGTCTTCTATGAGCAGTATGTGCGCCAGCGCGATGAGATGCTCGCTACGATCAACCGCGCCATGCCTGCTCTTCCCAACTACCAGCAGCAGCAGGCCGCTCCAGCGCCGCAGGAGAACTCATACTTTGACGACGATGTCGAGCAGGCCGTTGATCCTCTCGTCCTCAAGAAGCAGTCCATGCAGATCACGCTGATTGAAGGTGGTATTCTGTTCCACTCCGTTTTCGTTGGCATGACCATTTCCATCACAGCCGAGGGCTTCATCATCCTTCTCATTGCCATCGTCTTCCATCAAATGTTCGAAGGTCTCGGTCTTGGCACGCGTATCGCGGATGTTCCTTATCCCAAGAACAGCTGGAAGCCCTGGGCTCTCGTTGTTGCTTTCGGTACCACCGCGCCCATCGGTCAAGCCATCGGACTCTTCACCCGTGGATCTTACGACCCGAACTCGGCATTTGGACTTATCATCGTCGGTGTATTCAACGCTATTTCCTCTGGTCTGCTCATCTACGCTGCTCTTGTTGATCTGTTGGCTGAGGACTTCCTCTCTGAAGAGGCTTCACACACAATGACCGGCAAGACTAAGACTACTGCATTCTGCTACGTTCTTATGGGTGCAGCCGGTATGTCCATTGTTGGAGCCTTTGCTTAAGCGCGCGCAGGCCCAGCTGTTCTGAGCAATCAGCGGCGTTGCTGAACTCAGCTACATCACACGCAACGCTTTTCTTTCATGTCTAGACAAGAGCTGCCACCACAACCTGGCAGAACGATCAATTGTACGAGTATGGGAACACAATAGGCCGTCATTACATAAATGACGGCACACGTTAAACTGAAACAAGAATTTCTTATAAAACGGGGCAGCCATTCATTCTTTACGTGGTCATCTCTTCTGTTAGTGCATAATGTCATGTTCATCCGTTGCCTATCATCACCATGTCTTTGTCTCTCACTCTATCACTGTACTTGGATCTCAATGTGCTATCAGAATGTAGACATGATGAAGTAATGACACTAGATCACACGCCAAGCTGTTCAAAACTTTGCAAACATGTGATGTATGGCAGTCTCAAGCCGGATATCCTCTAAACGACACATTGCCACAACAAAGCCATTGCCCGCTCGTCATGAAGCTCCCAGGTTCGTCTCCGCTGGGCGATCCAATACCCACGATGAACAGTCCAGCGGATCCGGGGAGTGTTCAGCTGGCGACGAGCCACAGCGGCAGAGGTTCGCCTCCAAGTGATAAGAAGTGCTGAAGCAGAGGTTCCTTTGGAAATTCGTTCATCTGGCAGAGCTTCGCTGTTGGCTTCAAAGAGCACAAGTCGGCGCTACTCTCGTTGTGCTCTACCATGGCCGAGCGACAACGACTGCTTTATACGCAATCTCCCCAATCATCACGGATCTTCAACCACCGATGGAAATACAAATGCCGACAACGTTCGCGACCGGGTGCGAATGCGGCCGGAAGATCTCCCGTCATGGAATTCTAAATGCTATCGCTCGCCCACAATGCGGTTGTGGCTTGGCTGGGTTAAGCCGTCGCGGTGCGGTATGAACGAGCTTGGGCAAGCGTCCTTTCGGGTGAGTTTCCTTGAGTCACTTATTCTTGGCTGTGTGTGATATGAGAGGATGTACGTTTCAAAGGGTGCTGGTGTTGACGACGCTTGAAGCAGGGGGATGAAACGCGTTTCGGGGTGGCGTTGCAAGTTGAGACGGGGACACAAGAACTAGTCATGTGGGGATTTGAATGCCAAAGATAAGGTATGAACTTTGCAATAGACATAACGTGTATCGTATTTGACAACAGCTGTGCTAATGTGCGGAAGGAAAGCCAGAGACTGATTCGCTAGGTAACAAGATGAACACCGGAAAATGCGACAACACCCGAACAATCAACGTCACGATCCCAATCAAACCAAGTTCCCCCTCGCATCCTGCTCCCTCTCAATCGCCTCGAATAGGCTCTTGAAGTTGCCTGCGCCGAAGCCGTCAAAGTTGTTCCGCTGGATAATCTCGATAAACACTGTCGGCCGATCCATCAAATGCTTCGTAAACAACTGCAGCAGATAACCACCCTCATCGAAATCGATGAGAATGTCCAAACTCTTGAGCACCTCAAAGTCCTCATTGAGCTTTAGTCCAGATTTCTTGAGTCGCATCTTCATAGAGTCGTAGTACGTCTCGGGCACCTTGATGAATTCCACGCCTCGCGCTTTTAGGTTGGTAATGTCGCGAACAATGTTATCCGTTCGTAGCGCAATATGCTGGACACCGGGACCGCCATAGAAATCAACGTATTCTTCGATTTGGCTCTGCTTCTTGCCCTTGGCCGGCTCGTTGATGGGCATCTTGACGACATCGTTGGGCGAACTCATGACGATACTCTTGAGCGCTGAGTATTCAGTGCAGATGTCCTTGTCGTCGACGCTCCAGAAGCGATGGAAACCAAGCACCTTTTCGTAATAATCGCATGCGTTTTCCATCTCATCCCAGTCTTGGTTGCCGACGCAGTGGTCGATTGCCTCGAGATTGACCTGTGGCAGATACTTTTGGAGGGGGTCGGCGGCGGATGATTCTGGGCGGTAGCCGGGCAGGAAGATGCCGGTGTAGTCATTCTTTTGAATGAGTGTGTGCGTTGTGTCGCCGTAAGTGCGGATGGTAGCGAGGCGGACTGAGCCGTAGGTGTCGGAGATGTCGTGAGGAGCGGAGATGGTGGCTGCGCCTGATGAGACGGCAGCGGAGTAGATGGCATCTACGTTGTCAACTTCGAATGCGACATCTGGGATTCTAGTCAGCAATGGTCACCATGGTTACAAGGGATGCTATCGCTTACCCTTGACGGCATCACCGTGGCGCTCTTGGTGCTCGTGGATCTCTCGTAGTAGCTGCTCGTCCTCTTTGCTGAATCTTGAGCCTTGCTCTAGACACCTCAAAGGTGATGTGAGGATGAAAGTCACGTTGCCGTTCCGTACAACGTGAGAGGCGGTAGCTCTTGATCCAGTCTCTAGGCCACGGTATGCGACACGCTCGAAGCCCATACGCGATACATAGAAGGAAGCTGCTTGTTTGGCGTTACCGACATACCAGTGTACATGGTGGTAGCCTTGGTATGCCGAGACTTCTGAAGGAGAAGCGGCGGATGGCCGTGGCGATGAAGGAGGAGAGATAGCAGCGGGCGCCATGATAGAGCAGTTGATAGCGAACAACGACTATGTGTAAGTAGTACCGAAAGTATCCAAGTCTTTGCTTATGCGGTACCAGAGCAGTACTGTGAAGTGTAGTGAACTCAATACTAGGCACCGATGCGCAGCCATTCTTTATCTTCTACCACTCTGCATCCACTTTCCTTCTCGAACCGCTATCCGATCTCTTTTGCTAGCAATTACCATATCCAACCCTGGTAGCGTCATCAGGTTGGTTATGCCGAGCTCACGTGTGGTGGCCGCCAGAAGAAAGCAGATGTTGGTACCGCCGCTTTCCGCCAATAAATGTTCCGCCGGCAGCCGCCGTGGACGCAACGCGTCTCAACCGTGTAGCTGGAGCAGGCTTACGATCAACTATGTAGAGCGTGTCGAAGACATGACGCTAGCGATCATCCACGCGCAATCTGGGTGCGAGGCTGCATAGTCGTGACATTGTGTCAAGAGCGTTCGTCGCGTCGTGGCGGGTCAGCCGGCGATTGCCTGGCGAGGCTTTGTCTTTCCGCTAGCACGGCTCAATACCGCGCAAGTCCATTGTCACATGCTATGATCCGACAATCTTCATCTTGTGCTGATGCGCTTGGTCGGCTCTACAAATTTTGTCTCTTCAAGTGCCTGATAGGTCGAGCATGTATTGAGATTCGTTGTGGTGGGTGTCATGGTCCCGCATAGGCCGAGACCCCAGGCAGCCTTGCACCAGCCGCCTTCCGTACCAGACCTAAATCCTTGCCGTGAACTCCCGCCTAAGCCGAGTGAACAAACGTGACCTGCATATGTCAAAATGATCAAACTAATAGTGCTGGAAACTCTCCGTACATTGCTCTTAACGCATAGCAAAACCTTGAGTTGAACTTTGACCCGTCTTTAATCTTTGGGACCAAATCCATCGCTCCGAAGCCCATCACTACGAGGACCACGCCAGACATTACACAACCATGGCAGTCACTCTTCCCAACACATCTTTATCCGCGAACGACGCCAGGATCCTGAATGCGATCTTCGACCCGGAAACCCTTCCATCATCTGTCGGCCAACAAAAAGAAACTTCATCGTCAATCGACCCTTCATTACCCGCTCATCCCAGTATTCCCACATCGCTGCTCACATCGCTGGAGCGCCAGCAAAGCGACATCATAGCACGTACATCCAGCACCTCGAGCATCGCTGAGATAGATGCTGCAATAGAAGAGTTGGACAGGGTGGTGGAGCAGTACCCAGAATATGCGGGCGCGTGGGTGAACCGAGCTATGGTGAGGAGGATGAAGCTAGAAGCAAACCTGGAAGCGGGGAAGAACATCTTCCAAAACACCACTGAGACATCAGGATCAGATGTCGAATCGGTGTTCTCAGATCTTGCGCAAGCGATTCATCTTTCCTCAACATCAACTTCTACGCCAGCGGTGTCTCCTCACGCCGCAAAAGTCCTTCGGACAGCTTACTCACACCGTGCGTATCTTTATCTGAAAGCTGTGGAGTCAGGATCGCGGTGGAAGGGGATGACGACGTCTGAGTTGGAAGAATCAGCAAGTAAAGATTTTGCGGCTGCGGCGCGGTATGGCGATGAGGTTGCAAGGGAGATGAGCGTTAGGACGAATCCGTATAAGAAGATGTGTGGAGTCATTGTCAGGGATGCGTTGAGAGAGGAGATGGGTTTGAGCAAATGATTGTATAGATATTCCAAACATATATCCAGGAAGCCCGCAATTAAAATCGTGGACTTTGTAATGCTTCTACAGTATTGACCAGAGACCCTTTGATTCATCCAGGAACTTTCCTCTACATCTGGAACCTGTCTTGACTAGAAGATTTTACATCATGTCATCATTCCCTCCTGCAGCTTCCACTCTGACTTTGATATAAACAGTCACAGCCGCGGCCACTGTCACCGTCAGAGTCTGAGGCCCAGCATTTGCATCTATAACGATATCCTCTACCTCGTTGTTGTGACTGACTTTGCTGCCGTTATCTGTGAGCATCTCGTGATTGGGATCTTCGTTTATCCAGCGCTCAAATACTCCTGGCTCATTTGCGCTGCTGTCTACCTCCTCTTCTCCACGTCTATTATTTTCTTCTGCTTCGTCATCTCTTACAATGCTATTAATCACAGAGTCTTCTGCCTCATCAATTCCCTCTTCCGGATGCACTTTTTCATGTCCGTTATCACTGTCCAACGGCGCAACCTCATCGTTCCAATGAGAAAGCCAGTACCAAAACCGAAATCCTACCCATGTTCCTATTACCGGGGGATAAACGCGTAGAAATTCTAGTTGCTCGCGTACAAAGGCTCGTTCGAGTAAGCTAAGGTGCATGCCAATGTGTACGCCATACTCAAAACACAAGACCAGATTTGTGGAAACTGCGTGCAGGGTGGCTGCCCAGAGTAAAGTGAGAGTGACGCAGAGCGCAGTCAATACGACCATGTTGTCAGACTGTTGCGGCAGATGATTTGCAATGGATGTTGGTAACGAACTTTATGTGTCTGTCGTGTGAACTGAGATTAAAGACGAGAGGTTAGAGCAGACCAGATAGATGTGAAGTCGATCGAGTGATATAAGATAGGTATGGGTGCTTATTTGCTAAACGGACATTGTTTCAACCGTTTCTTTGTCACTCGATCATGCCGAGAAGCGCCTGGCAAGTGCATCGCAAGTCTTCGTTCGCAACGCAACACTGGAGGTGTGTCCAGCTACTTCCTGAAACACCTGGTCTTATCCCACTGCTTGTGTCATTCGCCGTCGTTTCGTTTGTTTCTCCAGGTCTCTACCGTGGTGGCCTCCGATAACACTAGTGGCACCATGATGGTGTATACCTCACAAGCCGCTTACGTTGGAGTTTTAGGAAGCAGATGAAAGATGTGTGTACATGGCTACTAGACTCATCGGATTGCATGTCATCTTCTTCTCCACTCACACCCATCGTTGTCTGACTATTTAGTTCTCAACAACAAATTCCGCAACTCTGGAACAAGGTATGACCGTTCTCAACTGGTAGTTAGCTTCCTCGTGCGAAGTGCATGTAGAACATCAAATCACTCCTTACAACCTTTTTTGGATACCTAGCTGATCATTCCTTCCATACACTCCATGACCCAGGGCGTCTTCAAAGATCTACTGCACAAACCTAAAACGATGAGGAAACGGTCTTGTGGCGTTAGTAACATTAGCGACAATAGCATTGTAGAACACATTGAAGAGATAGAGATGTAGGTAACCGCGAGAATTTACAAATCCATTGCACTTTTCGAGCTATCATCATAGAGTTAGCCTAGTATTATAACTACATGTCTAGACCGTATCACCCTTGCTAAGTCTGACCTTCATCACATTATCCCTTTTCACACTTCTCTACATGGGCAAATTCCATATGAAGTCCAGCGTACCATCGTCAAATCCCTGAAACCCCCCATTACCCCCCACTCCACCATCCCCCAATCCAAACGGCGCCATCGCCGGGTCGAAAGGCAGAGCCAACCAATCATCATCCGGCATATCCGGCATCAAGCCGGTGACGTTTTCCGCTAAGCTTGATAAACTGCTTTGGCCTGCATTGTGGTTGTTCAAGAAGGCCATGCCCTCTGTTGCAGCGGATGGAGTGTGAGAAGAGAGATTGTTGTTGTTGGAGGATGTATTGTGTGTGGTTGATGTGGCGCGGGACGGCAAGCGAGGGGGACGAGAGGAGACGACAAAAGATTCGCGGAGGCGGGCGACGTGGAGATCGAGGAGGGTTGCGTAGCGGGAAGCTAGGTGCATGTCGTCAAGGGTACCTTGAGCATCTTGTTAGTAACAGGGTGTCGAACGTGAAGGAATGACTTACTTGCGCGAAGAGCCCGGATAGCCGCATCTAGGATATCCAGACAACTCTGCAACTTTGCGTTTCTTGATCCCAGACTCAGGCCTTTGATCAGGTAGATTGAACTCGTAGTTATCCTGAGGAAGATTCGTACGGGCGAGTAACGCAGCGCTCCTGTCTCGGATAGCTGACAGACTTTTTGTAGTATCTGGCAACTTCCATCTACAACCTCTTGGATGAAATCATAGTCCCGCGGTTCGAGGTTGAAAGGCAGATTATCCTCCTGTGGCACATCGGGATCTGTCTCCGCGAGTGTGCGTTCGACGACTGCCTGCATGCCAAGCGAGTTCGTGTAGATACGAACGTATTGGTATTCAATGTGGAGCATATCGTGCAGACCAACTTTGAGTTTGCAGGGGTCGAGGTACTTTTTCCTCCAGGATACTAGCAGTGGTTGGAAGTGCTCGAGCAAGCCTATGTAGCGACCGGTGCGTAGTAAGCTTCGTGTTGTGGCTGTGTTTGGATAGATGGTGTCGGAGATTGACCGGGCGAGTTTGGTGAGCTCGACCCATGCGCTCATAAAGGACTGCCATTGCTCTACAGCACCCGTCGCAGAGTCAACAGGTATCTTCTCCATCAAAGCGTGGTTTAGGCTCTGTGGTATCATTGATGTACAGCCTAGTCTCCACGAAAGTTGTTCGAGTAGCACGTATAGGAGCTTCCGGGCTCTGATCCTTCGGAGGATAAGGTATTCCGTGGTGAACTTTGGGTACGACACCTGGTCCTTGTCTATTCTCGCATTGTCCTCGAATAGTCCCAGCTCTTGTGCTAATGATAATGCGCAACCCATCAACATCCATGACATACGGTCGGAGCGTTTCGCGGGCTCAATGACATCTTCAAGCCATCGGTTCGACGTCACATCCCCTTCTAACAGCTTTGCGCCTTCTTCTGTGGTGTTATTTGCGCCAATCATAAGTTCACAATCCCAGCCATCAGCGGCGGTAGGGAAATGTAGCGCTCGAGGATGCCACTCGGATAGCAGGAGCAGAGCTTCTATCGACCCAATAGTCCTACTCTGCGCTTTGGATGGCTTGACCTGTCCGAGCATGATCTTCATGATGAAGCGCTGACACTGCTCCCAAAGCCTATCATGCACAAAGTAGCCTCTCGAAGCGCCGCCCACGCCAGGAAGGATATTGTATCTCGACGATATCATCAGTATAGTAGTGCACAAGAAAGGATCCAGCGCGATCAGCGTATAGTGATTTTCGTGATGCGCATAAAACTCCCCTAGGATCGGCGACAACGGCGAACAATTCTTGAAGAACAAATCGACATATGTTACTGCCTCATGTGCAGAGAACCAGCCCATCTGCACGAATCGACACGATGTCCACGTCTTCAGCGTCTCCGGTGACGGCGTCGACATCTGCACCGGCTGTGCTCTAAAGGTGTGGAATGGCGACGACGGAACGCCATTGTCGTAGCCTGATGGACCTGACCTGGGTGTTTCATATGCTTGTGATCCCGACTGTTCTTGATTGTCGATAGCATCGCGATGATGCGCGGCTTCAAACAATAGATTCAGTGCATCGCTCCCGCTCGATACCACTGTTCGCATCACCGAATGCGCAAGATCTGGCTGGCCATGGGACGACGAGATCCTCCGTAGGTGTCCATGGGGAGAATGGAACTCGGAACGATTCGAGCCATTGACATGTGGACTAGTACCCGGCGTAAACCCATGCGTCGATATAGATGATCTATGGCCTGGTGACGGCAGTGGTGCGGGATTCGACTGAGGTCGATCGCGCGTCGCAGACGCCGACGTAGTACCACCACCGCCACTGATAGCCTCCTCCTCATCCTCACCCTCCCTTGCTACTTCCCCCGGTTTCCTCCTCTTGACCCAACTCCTCTCCGACCTAAAAATGCACTCGCGCATCTCACGCTTGCATCTCTGACACGGCGGCTTTAGCTCGCCTCCATCTGGCCCGGTACCCAAGATGCATTTTGCCTTGCGCTGCCGGCAATTGATGCAAGCCTTGTATGCGCGCTTGAAGTCTTCGGGGTGGGTCCGCTTCTTGCTTGACCCAGAACTCGAATTGGCATCTTGTTGGCCAGTGCTCGGGTTGGAATCGTCCATTGTGACGATGAACAATAAATGGTAATTGATAGGGTGGTACGACGAACGGATGGCGCAGGAAAATCTGATGGGTGGGAGCCCGGGTATGACTGGGTTTTGCGCCTCGGGTATCGGCGGGTGCGAGGCGGGCTTATGCAGCGGAGCGGCATGCGCCTCAACGAAGACGAACTATGCTGCAAGACGTTGATTACATAATGATGTCAGAGCATACGTTCAATTCGCACGGATGTGCGATTCTAAGAATTGGCGTGGTTTCTTACTATAATGGCTGCTGTGTCGCGATGGTGTTTGTAGGGTGACTGTGCGATAGATGGCCGGCTACCGGTGGGTTGGCTGGGGGAAAACCTCGCATGGTCAGTCTGTTACGACAAGTACGTAGGTAACACAGCAGGACTCAGTCAACAATGACATCTGTACGTTTTCGCAGGGCTACAACGATATTGTAGAGGCAAAGCCAATGGCTTTGATGCCTACTATCGTTATCTGCTGAGATCGCGTGCTGCGTTCTCATATTCACCTCATCGGAGCAAGCGTCGGTATTGCTATGCATTCAACTATCCCTCATGAAAACGTTTACATTTCTAGGAGGCAATCTTGAAGGAGAGGTCGTATCTCACGCTACTCAGCACCGATTCTGACAGCCTCGATGTCGATCGTTCTGAAGCAAATTCATCCGCTCGCAAGCAAGGATACATTAATTTGACCCGGTTGCTATCTTTTGCCTCGCGGAAACACAAGATGGACACTGCGTCTCGCGCTGTGCTTATCGTTAAATATTGCATTGGTTGCACAAAGCAAGCATTGACAAGCTTCTAGCCAATTAGCAGAGCGACTCTTACCAGCTTAGCCTCGCCGAGGCTTATATGCTTCAGTGGCACAACCTGCTTCGCCGCAGGGGCGCTGCTCATGAATCTCGTTATCTGCTTCTTTGTTGCGTCCATTCTATGATCTTATCTTTCAGACACAAATCCCACCAGAATGAATCATTCTTCCAAGAAGCCGGACATCGCCCGCGAGAGAAGCCATAACCATGCATTACAACCGCTGCGATATCGCACCAGGGCACTGTGGCTTCTTAGCCTGTACACCTTACTTATCCTCATTCCATGAGTGTTGACTTGTGTGCTTGCGCATCGTCCACTCAACTCAGGCTCATACATGCGACAGCGAGGCTTCCTTAATCATGAAGTGTCTAGTATGCGCAATTGGATGACCGCAGTCGATGTCCTCAATTCAATCGCTGGACTGATAACGAGTAAGCAATATCAATCGAGGCCCTACCAGCTGCTCGTGCTAACCACGCAAACAACCTTCCAGTTCCAATTCTATCTGCAGTCTTGGCTCAAGCAGCTGTGAAATGGAGGAAAACAAGAGTATGCACTGACGCAAGGCAGAGATGACTGTTTCAAAAGCAATTATTCATACATACAACACGTTGATCCTTCTGATATATGGACTTGGGCAATACCTGGCCCTCTAGCGACAAGTGCACTTGCGCTGTTTGGAGATGGTTCCTGGCTAAACACAGCAGCCGATCACGTAACAAACCTTACATATAATGGTACTAACCAGCCTGGCGACTACTTCCGCGAGAACGTCTCGTGGCCATTTTTCTGGCGCGGGATGCCTTTCTCAAATCTTTGGGCACCGGGTGACGGGGACTCCTGGGAGCTCACCGAGTGGTATGACGAGGATTTTGACCAAGATCTTGTCTATCAGTGCGACCTTCTTGAGGGGAGCATGTTTGATGGTGCAAAATCTACGAAACACGATCTGCTCGAAATCACGCAACAGTTCTTCGCCGCTTTTGTCCCCAGCTTCAATGGCGCCACAAATCAAACACTAGATAAGACACAGAATCTGCTAGAGACTGCCATGTTCATCGCTAATCGAGCGTCTCTCACCTTATCTTCCCCAGATTTCAGCCGGAACATATCACAAGATATGGATGGACGTAATATCTACACTTCACCTGGTATTGCAGTACCAAAGCCCGTTCTACCAAGATCAGGCGTCATCATCATGTCGGTTTTGATAGGCCTTTAACTACTCTGTCTTATTTACTTGACTTATCACCTATATCGTGTTCCATCGTGGTCAGATCAGCTGGATGCCATGGCCATGGCCCGCATAGGAGCAAGTTTGGATCACCAGGGCGTACTTCCAGCCATTGGCCCAGTGAAAAAGCAAGACCTGGTAACCTTGCAGAGTGCTGGAGGCTTGATTGGCATCGTCGAGAGAAGCGGGCGTCGCGAGAGCTCGGCAACCGGATCTGTGCTGCCCGATATGGCTGTTGCAGATGACTCCGCAGTCGAGTTACAACGACTCACTTCGTCCGAGGAGGGTCGTAAAAGCGTGAAAGGTGACACCACAAGTGTTAAGCTTGAGCTAGATGGGTCGGGTCCGATCCTCACGGCCGATTTGTTGGGCCGCACGACTTTATCATCTGGTTTGAAGAGAGCTTGGAGCAAGATGTTTGTTTCTGGGAAACAGCCATCAGTCGATGATCTGCCATCACCACCTACGTCTCCTCGAAGCGACACCTCCACTAACCTCCCCGCTTTCACCCTGCTGCCCTCCTTCAGCTTCTCAACTCACCCAGATGACGATGAAATGTCTATTTTAGAATAAATCCAGATTCTGTGGTGTAGTAAAGAAGTCATGTGAGAGGGAGTAAAAAGCCGAAGCGCTTTTGGGGGCTAGAGGGATTTCTTCTCATCTTCCCTAGCAGCGGTAGCTGTCTTCTGACCTTTCTATAGAACTCAACTACAATACAAGAAGCTAGGACAGTTCAAGGTAGGTATTAGAGCCGTTCGGATGACTGACATAGCATTGCGGCTGTGAATTACGGTTAGGTGGTTTCTTAGACCTAGTTGCTTCTCTACACCTTATCACTCCCTCCCTTCCTCGCCGCCTTCTTCTCTCTCTGCAGGCTTTCCAAGCATCCTGTATTCCTGTTTGGACAACCAGTATTGTATAATAGTGTTCTGTCATACATCCTCAATCTGTCTCCGCTAGTTATGACACGAAGATCGTAGTGATGAGAATGCTAACTCCCATTAACCTATACCAACACGTTCCCACTCTTCCACCTGAACTCACCGTTCCTGAAGTCGGAGCAGCAGACCCGTCTGACAACGAAACAATTGATGTCGCCGACTTCGTATCTGTAACCAATACCGATGAAATAGCAGTGACCGAAGAAGTGCTCTCCGTATCACCCAAAGATACCATCCCAATGGACGTGCGCTCAAAGTCGCTCGCACACGTATCAAGCCCCGTACTGCTCTCACTCCCCTCGGAACTGCATGTGTACAACGAGCTTCCGCTCTCACCGCCCCCATTGGATATTTCAGACCAAGCGCTTGTCCAAACTCCAATCTGCGTCGTAGTAACAATCTGCGTTACACCCATAGAGGAGACTGAGCATCTAGGCCTCCCATATGCGTCCGTGTGACATATTTCATCGACAGAACAGCAGAGAATGCCGGCGTAACCACATGTCGTCCCGTTGCATGTTTGAGCCGAAGCGACGGCAAAGAAGCCGAGAAGGGATGATGCAGAGGCTATGAGGTACATGCCGAGCGCAAGAAACCGACGCCTTGTAAGAGAAGTTGCGATGACCAATGACGATGGGAAATGGATTTGGAGGAATAATGCAGGTATGATAGGTACGGGAGATGAAGTTCACGGGAAGTTTGTTGTGATTGATCGCGTAGAGTTAGACTATACCTGGTTGAGCTGCTCCGCGCTGTATTGGTGGGCTTGGCCGCTCCTTCGCTACCCTATTCCATATCCAGAAGGCTGAGATAGTTGAAGGTAGATATCAGAGCTGTTTGGAGAACAGACATAGCATTTCCGGTGTGATTTACAAGTGGGCGGTTTCTTCAGACTTTATTCAACCTCTACACCTTGCCATCCCCCACCTTCCTCGCCGCCTTCTTCTCCTCAATCCCCTCTCTCCACTCCCTTCCCCAAACCGCCGTCGCATAAGTCATACCCGCCCCAGCAACCAAGAACCCCGCACTGATTGTCGAAAACCAGCCGACGCCAATCGCCCTAACAGCAGGCAAACACACCGCCGACCCCGCCGCCGCAAACATGTAACGCATAAAGTAATTCCCCGCCACCACCTCTGCGCTCCTCCCCTGCATAACATCCAAGCAATACGTATTGAGACTAGGAAAGCAAAACAATTGCGCCACGCCCTGGAGAAACATCATGATGACGGGGAGCGCAACACCGCCAACGCGCTTCTCAACACTCCACCCGTACACAATCATACAAGCGGGTATGACGCCCCCGAGGAAGAAGACGCAAGACCGCAGACGGTCCTCTGATACGCGCTGGCCCCGCTTCCGGATATACTTCTTCACAACGTGGTCTGCGTAGCGGCCGCCGAAGAAGGTGCCGACGAGGTATCCGCAGCCGGGCGCGATGTAGAAGAGTCCCGATTGCAATGGGCTCTGCAGATCGAACCGCGGGTTCAGGACGTACCGGATAGGCGTGAGCAGGCTGTACATGTTCCAAACCAAGCTAGCGGACGCGAGGGCCGTGAGGAGAATATTCGGGTACCGATATAATCTCACGACGCGGAAGGGGTTAAGCCACGCCCACATTTTGCTTGCGCGCTGCTTTGCAGGCAGACCCGCGAGCTCATCGGCGCGCTTGCTGTGTATCGTCTCGGGCTGGAGGAACGCACAAAACAGCGTCGCGGCACCGGCGAGCGCCGTCTGCAGCCAGAAGATGTCGCGCCACGAGCGGAACGTGACTATAATTCCACCGATAAACGGGCCCAGCGCAGGCCCAATCAGCGTGCCAGATAGGAACCAACCTAGCGCTGTTGCGCGCTCGGTCGGCTTGTAAATGTCGCCTATGACGGCTGATCCGATGACGAGGAAGGCGGTGCCTTGGAACGCGGTCAGGATTCTGAAGACGAAGAAGGCAGCGAGGTTGGGGCTCAGCGCCGTGCCGATGCTGAATGCGGTGAATAACGCGGCACTTACGACGCTCACCCACTTCCGGCCGTAGATGTTTCCGTAGGGCCCGTAGAAACAGGGGGAAAGGCCCATGAAGAGCATGTACAAGGCGTTTGAGACGTTGATGATGGAGCCGTCCGTATTGAACGTTTTTGCTACTTCGGGAACGGCAGAAAGGACCGTTGTCGAAGAGATGGGGGCTAGGAAGCTGCAGAAGGAGACGACGGCGACGATGACCATTTTTCGGCGTGGGGTGAACTTGTTGTAGATGGTGTCGTTGTCGCCTGTTGCGACGTATTGCACATTAGCCATGTCATGGTGGCTGACTGATGAAACTGTGCGTTGGAGTTGGAGACGGCCTTGTTGCTCGTCCTCAGGCCGTGGTGCAGGTTTAATGGAGGCGTATTTGGTGTTTTTCTCAGACTCGGTTGTTTGATGTTCAGGTTCGGTGGCCGGGTGGGAAGATTGCTGTGGGCCAGCGGGTACTGAGGAGGATGTGGAAGAGGGTGCCATTTTGCGTACTCATAGAAGGCGAGTCCTGGGAAAGAATGATGCTCCTGTTGGGGGAAGATTACAAGGACATGTGCTGCTGTGATACAAGACTTGCAGTACCAACTCAAGTCAGGAAAGAATGTTTGAAGCCTCAAGTTAGGAAGAATGTTTGGAGAAAGAAGAACAAGTGACTCGAGACGTTAGATATGCGTGCCCTACGATGCATGTTGGGCTATCTTTCTGCAATCTTGCTACATTAGCGTCTTTCTACGGCTTCATATCCGCGGGTGGGTACTGGATTTCGTCGACGAATTGTCCAAACAGAATCTTTTCCGTGCAGGGTTTTTCGCGTACATCGCTTCGAGGCGTTGGCGTATCCGGCGAGTGGAGTAGCGCAAGGGGTGGAGCAGCGCGACATGGGCATCGGAGTAGAAATGTCCGGTCGGATACTTTGCCGCCGATGGGGATATGTAGTATCGCTCACCGACCAAATGTCCAAGTTGGGAATGTCGTTGGGTACATTGGGTTCGTCGAGTGGCCGTGAGGTGCAGTATGCGGTCCGGGTATAAGTTGCGTGCAAAGACTTTTCCGTGCCACATGACTCATGCCAACCGTCGTCACATGCATGCTGCAAATGCGCAACACATACAACTAACTGCCCTCTCGAGTGAGCTCAGCGAAGAGCAGCGCAGATATATACGTGTATATGTAAGCCTATAGCCAGTCCCAAAGTTATATACGACGGGAGGCTTTCTAAAATACCCAAACCTGGATCTTGCCTTGAGATGCCGCGTCCATGTTCCCCCAAAACGCCGATGATGCAATTACGCTTTTTCAACCAAAGTAAATCTCGTCCCGACCGTCTCATATGCTGAGCTTGTCGAGACTCAAGCGGTCGGCGCTTCTGTGTCGCTTGACCATGCCCAGCTTGTAGAACTTCTCCTCTCCCGTTGCTGTTCGGCCGCCAATGTACCATTTCTCGGCGCCCATGGCCTCGTGGAAGCCTTCAGACGAGCTGTCCGAGCCCCGTCTGCCTCGTTGTGATGCGCCTGGTATTGGGAAGGCCTGGGCCTTGGGGGATGTGGAACGGTTGTAGGGGGCCGTGTGTTGTCTGGTTGGCTGGAAATGGCCTGTTGCTTGCACGGAGACGGTCGTTGCACCGGGCGACGGTGAGCGCGTCTTGGTGGTGATTGTGCGCGAGGAAGGTGCTGCTGTGTCGAGAGTCTGGCTCTGTTGCGAGGCCGTGGTTTGCGAGTACGAGGCCACGGACGCTGCTTGCGAGGCCGTCGTCTTCTGCAGGTTGGGTTGTTGCGCGCGGAAGGCGGCGAGGAAGCCGCCAAAGAAGGGCCTGTTGGTAGTCATGGTAGTTTTGGGCTGTTTGTAGAGGTTGAGTGTTCGATCCGTGACACTATTAATGCAGCAAGTCAAGCGGCGGTGTGGAGGTGAGGTGTTGGCGGCTCCGCAACACGTTGTTTTGTGTCGCGACCGAACAACAACACCAGCGAACAAGACACTCCGACTACGCCGTGGAGCTCGGACACTACGTCCTGGTCGTTTCCATGCGCTCAGCGAGGTGGCAAGGGAGACGCCGCGATACCAGGCCGGTTCGCAACCAAGGGTGGGTAATTCTACGCGCGAATGTGCGTGTGACGTAGGCGACTTGCAGCTCGGCGAAGCGTCTATGTGAGAGCGGGATGCGGTGCCGTCAAAACCAGCGGGGTAGGCGATGGTCGTGTTTATAGGAGATGGCGGGGACAGTAGAGCGCAGGTGCAGGCGTCTGGCAGGTTTGGCGTATCGGTCCGTTGCTGGTGCCGTGAAGCTCGTCAACGAGTGCAACCCAGGAATAAATCGGAACCAGCTGATTGTCATTCGACCGCCTCCTGAGCCATGACCGAGGCTAGACTACACTCCACCTGCCATGCTCGAGATGCGATCGTGATGATGTCCCGTCTGCCCGGCTACCATCTGTTGTTCGCAAATCCGCGTCGCTCCCTTGCAACCCCCGTGCTCACACACCTCGAGTCAGCCCCAAGCAGTCCCGAACACCCGGGAACATGCGGATACCATGCTCTTAGTAACATGTCGCATCTCATACGACGCACGGCGGCTGAACTAGCGGCTCGTCATGTCCATCGATACCCACCTGAACGCGGGGTAGTCCCAGCATTAGAACGTCGCCTCAGGGCTAAAGACAGCACATGTAAAGCCTGTTGCGGTGCTCTTCGTAGCGCCAGTGCTAGAATACGTTTTTTTCACATGTGCGGACGCATATGATCGGCATAGTACCTTGGAGCCGCTTGTGACGTAGCCATGTGTATGGTTGTGTATCACCTTCTCGGCCCCCTCCATCTCACTAGGCATCACTGCGAGTGGCGCACCTATCAACAACACCAAGACCCGCCACTAACTTTCCACGCTGCAGCATGAAATATCCGAGTTCTGCACAGATTACTCAAACAGGCAGCATCGCACAACACCAGTTGCCTCTCTTTTCGTCATCCCTACTGTCATGGCATCCTTCTCCCTTCTGCCCGCCGAGCTTGTGGAATACATTGTATCCTACCTTCCCCAGCACGACATCTACGCTGTATGCCAAATAAACAAGGGTCTTTTGAAACTCGCCATTCCTTTTCTGTACCGTCATGTTGACCTCTTCATTCCGCCGAACAACAAATTACCCCGGATTGATCGCTTCTGCCTAGCCATCATAGACTCCACCCGCAAAGCCAACAACATCAAGTCGATACGCCTCGGCCTGTCGCCTAACGGAGATGTTTCAGTAGGCCAGCGCTGGTTACCACCAGACAAGAACTTTGACGACCAAGTCATGTTCTGGAAAGCCATGACCGTGTTGGGTGATGAGACGTTGGTAGCTACAGGCGACTACCTAAGAGATGCAATTAGTATGCGCGAGTATTCCGCCTACGCAGCCTTGATCCTGCTTGTCCTGCCCAATCTATGTCAACTGGATGTAGCAGATTACAAGTCCGTAACCTTCCACCACCTGCACACTATCCTGCGTAACCTCGATCCGGAGACTGCGTGGAACAAGCGATACCCTTCGCGCATTCTGCTGAGCCGATTGTCGAATATCAAAAAACTTTCTCTCATGTTCGACAATAGAACTGGAGTTGCGTACCAGGGCGATAACAGCCGCATGACTCTTGACCACTTCCTCAACATTCCCAGTATCGAGACGTTGGAACTTTCCCATCTCATGTGGCCCGCTGGTTTACAACACATCAACACAGCACACCCGCACCTTGCGAACCCCATACTAGATCGCTTGAAAGCCACCAACATCACCACACTCGTCTTCCGACATTCCGGGGCCTTCACACCGGCTCTACCTTCTTTATTACAATGCATGCCCAAACTACGCTCTTTTACCTACGAATTCTTCTTCCCTGGCCCCTTGCCCCCCTCGCATCACCACCAGATGCTCGATCTAGACGCGTGGAGCGAACACCTCCGCCGTTTTGCGTCGACGCTACAAGTCTTGGTCATGAGTGCAGAATACAGCGACACATCCGCCTACTTCTTCCAGCAACTGCGCATCAGCGAGATGCTATACGGGTACCTTGACCTCACCGCCTTTACCGCACTGCACACGCTCGAAGTGCCTTTTCCCTTTTTAACAGGCGACGTCGACTTTTCCATCACAAAGGAGATTTACCCGTTGTTGCCGCCGAATCTGCAGCATCTTGTTCTCCGACCTGATCTCTCGCACGCACATCTTCCTTTTCCACTGGATGAGAGTATTCTACCACACGGTCTCACGTTCGCCGAGAGCAAAGATATGGCGCAGTATAGAATGAATGCACGTATGGACGTATCGTACATGTTCCAAGCTGCACTCTCCCTCCTCGACTTGGCTACTACTACTACAACATCGTTCCGTTCGCTGTCCGTCTGGCAGCCCGCTGACCCCAGTTTATCCTGGTTTGACGGCCAGATTCAGGATTTTGCTACTACGTGTCGAAATAAAAATGTTACGGGGAGGCTGTTGGAACCGATGTTGTTGAGGTGGAAGAACGGGGCGGAGCATTGGGATTTGGTTAGGGAGATTACGCTGTTTGGGAGTGGTAGTGAGGAGGAGGAGAGATTGTCTGGGACACGGTCTAATGTGGTAAGAGAGAGGTTTTGGAGAGGTGAGGGAAGGCTGGGACAGGTGTTGGGGTTGGGGTGTCAGTTTCATGTTGATGCTTTGTGTAAGGGGAGAGTCAAGGCACGGCGGTGATGGCGGTCGTTGGATGGGTTGTTTGGCGTGCTTGGATTGCGAACTGTGACGTTTGTGGAGTATTCAGGGATCTCGGAGATTTCTGATTCGATAGTAGCCATTGCGTAGGCGATGTTGTTCATTATCTGAGGCTCATACTAATTACTATGCAGCCAGGGGAGGCGAACGACCAGAGTTTGCCTCATCCGGTAGAGTGCTTGATAGTTCCCAAGCTAGCACGTTATATTGCACGCCATGTAGTTTGGTGAACACATACGTATCGAATTTACTCAGGAGAATTCTTCAGCAAGACTAATCGTTTTCTGCATCAATATTCCTGGGTAGTAAGCATGCCCCAGGATATACGAAAGCAGCAAGAACAATCTTACATACGTCGACACAAACGTTTGCTGAACTCCACCTATTATCCAAACGCAGCCAGGATACATCATGGATACCCAAAGAGTGGTAATTCGCGAAAGTCCTGGAGCCGCCAAGTTAGTTTCGGGTCATTGCGTCCTACCATTGAGGCCTGACTCCATGCTGGTGAAAGTCAAGGCGGCCGCTCTTAACCCCGGGGGCGGGAAGCTGCTGGATGAAGAGCCAAACACAGATGGATGCGTGCTTGGAATAGATTATGCTGGTGTGGTGGAGAAGGTGGCTGATGGAGAGACCACCAAGAAATGGAAGAAAGGAGATCGGGTTGCAGGTCCTGCACATTGTAGTAAGTGTCCGAGTTGCAGCCCACGTATCTAAGAAACGCGTCTGGTGAGAATATGTAGTAAATCCGCGTGTCAAGCCCAAGTTAGCTGCCTAACGGAGCGTTCGCTGGATGGGTAAGTTTTGACCGTATATCTGGTCTAGAAAACGCGGCGAGCGTAGTCCACTATCACAAGGCGATGAATAACGAGCCTAGACGGTTTCCCGTACTGGTCTTGCTCTCAACCTACCTGACCGCGCCTTCTTTCGAAGATATCGCGATACCAGGTGCTGGACATGCCACCTGCAGCCAGGCCCTCTATAAGCAACTAGGTCTCCCATTGCCGGATAACACTTCATTCTCACCTTCAGCAATACCCATCTAGAGTGCCAGTTCGACTACTGGTACGCTTCCCGTCCAGCTCGTTAAGCTGTGAGTCACATTCACTGGATATTTGTATACCTAATCAATCTGACAAACACTAGTGCTGGCCTTCGCGTCCTGGCAACACGCTCAGCTCGCAACTCTGACCTCGTCAGATGGCATGGAGCGGATATGGTCTTCGATTACAACAGCCCAAAATGCCATTCAAGCTATCAAGAACGCTACCGATGACTAATTAGGCTTGATTCTGGCCTGCATATGCGAAAACGGTTCCCCGAGTTTCTGCTACCAAGCTATAGGCAAGTCAAGCGGGAAATACGCTACCCTACTCTTGCCACAGGAACGTCCGAGGAAAGACATCATTGGGTCCTTGGGTTTTGTCTACACAGCATTCGGTGAAGCGTCTACAAAATTTGAACTCGAGGTACCTCAGAAGATTGGAGATTACTTCTTCGCATCCAAGTTCTTTGACTTGTGCAGGGGATCGCTCGCGGAGGGGAGATTGAAGCCGCATCCTAGTGCACGTTGACTGGGCGGGTTGGATGGGGTTCTAAGGGGTATTACGGAGATGGAGAGAGGGCAGGTTAATGGGGAGAAGTTGGTTTACTTAGTCTGGGAAATGGCTAGCTTGTTTAGAGCGTAGAAAAATGTGCTATTGCGCAAGATGTCGGCAGCAGGGGTTTTGCGACTTTCGCATCCGTCGTCCCTCGCGGATACATTGTGTCATGATGATCCTTTCTTCTAGTATGTTTCCCGAGCTTTCTCGAGAGTCAAGGCCTCGATCTTAGGGGGTAGATCACTCAATCACACCCTATATAGCTTGGATAACATTGCTACTATGAATACTATCTCCAGCTCGGCGATCATGTTTTGAAACGCAATTTTTCCCAAGTCCTTATGTCCTTATGTCCTCCTCCTAGCACCCCATACACACGCTTTCGTTTTCAAAAAGCGCTGTAAATGTTGATGATTGGCATTTTTATAGCCGTAGAAGAAGTTGAAATAAGCTAATGATAACTACTAGAATTTCTGTGAATGTTAAAGATCCAGGTTGAACCAAGATAAAGTGACGAAGGAATTTCTTCCATGTGATTGGTTTATCTTGTGAGAAGATAGATGCCCACGTATCTACTCAATCGATATCTCGACAGCCCCCTGAACAGCTATCGTCTTGAAGTCCAGAGAATCATTACCTTCGCTGGAGGAATAAGTGGTGTAGTGCTTACTCCAGGAGAGTATGAAATGATGCCAAGCGCTATCCCTACTCTGAACTTCAACATGGCCGTCCGCATCTCCAAGTTCAGAATCGCTGTTCTCATCCCCAAGCTCAGATCCGCGATAATCTGCCAAAATTTCATCAACCGAGATGGTCAATCTCCCAAAGCGCTCAAAAGTGTCCTTCTTGCCATCAATTGCAACCAAGATAAGACATTCAAGTTCCCACTCGTCGCCATCAAAGCAAAGCACGATGGGCAAACAAAAGATCTCGTGCGGATCCGGAGGAGGCTTGTGATCCAATATAACGCGTGGTAGACCGGAATCATCAGCGTCATCTAACCACATTCCATTGAGGAATGCACTCCAGTGTGTGACAGATTCCGAATCGGGAACTGGTCGGAGTTGCATTTTTGATAAGAAGCCAGACAACCGAATGATCCCGTTTGATACCTCAGAGAAAACATCACCTGTCTTGGTAGTTGCATGACAACTCTTGATTTCAACAAGAATAACGACTGAATCTTGGTCTTCATCGTAGAGGTAACGGTTACTCAATGATACGGGCCCATTCATACTTGCCCAGGACCAGGAAGGGGCTCGATAACATTCTTGCGTTGGTTTCGGAAGTGCAGGCTTTGGAAAATCCCGGATGCCCCTTGTCCAGAGAAGTTCGATTGGCATTCGTCGAATCCACAGCCCGGCGCAGTAGGTATCGGCAAGAGGCTCACAGAAGAGGCTTGCTATGCCCGATATCGCCACTAGCTTATCGTTGAGGAATGTAAGATGGCATTTAGTGTATTGCTCAAGGATTCCACACCAGATACGCATATATTCGTTCTTACGAATTATGGGCGGAGCTCGGTCTACGATCAAAGGCTGGTGGTGATAATCGTAGGTGCTGAATTTGAAACTATCATCCTGCTGATCGGCCGTGCGCTGATCGAGTTCAATATGCGTAGGAAGTTCTTCGCAGGCAACTTTGTCGTAACACTGCCAGAAGATCTGGTTAGAGTTGAAGTATAGGATTCTTGATGACAATTGTAGTTCTTGAACTACCCAAGCTCTGCTTATGAGAGGCTGATGCTCAAACGCGTTGGGCCAGATTTTCGAATTATAGATCTGATAAACGCTATTAGGTCGATCGTTCCAAGACGTCGTTACCTCGCAAGTTACCATGGAGCTGGCTTCACGTGTGCGAAAACACCCAGAACTGCTCTTGGCGCTAGCAGCCGCCGCAATGCAAAGAAAAGCATGACGGTAGACCTCGTCCATCAGAGGCGCCTGCTCTTCCCAGTCTTGATCCGAGTCTTGGATTATACACAGGGAATCTATCCAGATATACTGTATCTCCAGAGACTTTGCCACCGATATGGCATCCTGGAACGTTTGGCTAAGAATAGACGTCAGAATGCCGCTCGTTAGCTGGTTCTTTGTCTGATTGGTCAACATGAAGAATGGATCCCGTCCCCAACAATGACTCAATGTTGCGTAACGAGGCGCGAATGCGGGATCTGAAAACGGGTTAACCAACAAGCGGACCCGGTCTTCATCCAACTGTTCAATCTGGAGAAGACGCATTGTAGAAGCTTTTCTAGGCCTTCGCGCTCTTATAACTTCTGCAGCCTGACATTTTGGGTGTGTCCCAAGACATTGCGACAGCCATTTCTCCGGAGCCTCTAAGTTTGAGGTAGATCCGGCCCAGGTGCTTGAGGTATGAGGTTGGGTTTGATGCTCTACTGCTTGACGTTAGTGCACAGGGATCACACTCGAGATGGTCGAAAAGCAGACTTACGCTGCGTTTCCACATAGTCAAAAAACAGAGGAGATTCGGGTTGACGTCCATGTAAAATGATGCTGACATAATCTACATGTACAAGACATTTTGTGACGTAGCCATCTCTTGTGGTGTCACCATGGAAAGTTTCGCGATCAAAGTCCGGTCTCCCAACCAAATCCTTCCAGACGTCCCTACAGATGATACAGTTCTCGCCGGCTGCTTGTTCGAGATCCTGAACGGAAGTATGATGATCGAAAAGTCTCCTAGGAAAAGAGCCTTGGAACATAGAAGAGCACCGATCACAAAGTGATGGGGCTACAGAGACAGACATACTACGGCCTTATTGATATCAGACTAGAAAGCGTAACGTACCGACAGCGGCGACTTCGAGGGATGGGAAACACAAGTAGAGTGTATTGAGATGGCAGTAATTATCCACACTCGTCTTTGGCTGCTGTTGCTGGGGAGCGTATTGCGTCTCCTTTCGAGCTGTCAAATCGTGGCAGCGAGGCTAAACGTGACCGGTTTACCAGGGAGTTGTGGTGGCAGAGCTTTCCAGCCAAGGTGGTGATCGGGCTTGATAGCGGGGTAAACAAGATCCGTCTTATCAGCGGATGCACAGCGACAGAAATGGTATAGACCCGAGGTTTGTGGCCTGCAGGTGGCGCGAAAGAGACTAGGCAGCAGTGCGCTTACTATTCGTTCTCGCAGAATGCGTTATCCCGTGACTTCGTGTACACGTGTTCAAAAGGTCGGTCGTCAACAGGCAGGTTCAGCAAAAACTGCCACTGAAAACCTCATCCTCATCTCTGACTCAAGGTATCGCCTTCCTCAAATACGATCTCTACTCCCTGCTTTGAGCACATTGGCATGACAAGTATGATTGCATAACGCAATTTTTCTCAAAGCAGAATATTCGACTAATTGGTTCGAAAACTAACCGGACAGAAGGTAGGTGCATGAAACAAAACATCCGCTCGCTAGTCTTGTGTCATATCTCTCACTGTATCTGTGTCTAGATCAGCCAGGATAAAGTCTTCATCAACAGGTGTCTCCTCATCGCTGTCTTCGTCCGAGTCCATGCCAGCCAAACGGTTGTCGCCGACGTTTGGCCCCTTGTCCTTCAATCGCAAGAGCTTACGGTGGATGGACCCGGTCGTGACTATCTTCAGCTCAACTGCAAAGATGCTATTTTCTTCCATGTTGGCCTTAAAGAGAGTGGCTGTATGTTGCGAGGATGTCGCTTCGAGCTTAGGGTTTGCGTCCTTTCCTAGCTGATTTACTCCACTAGCTGGTAGAAGAATCTCACCCACAGGGATTTCGCCTTGCGCCTTACGCTCTTGAGTCTTCGCTGCATCCATACTAATCTCAACGTCCTCGCACATCATAATGCCGACTACGAGACAAACGGGCCAAGTGTTCCACATAGAGATCCAGTCTCCCATACTCCGTTTGACGTCCGGATCTTCTCTGAGCTTGGCCCAAAATTGGTCGAGTTGCTGAATCCGCTTGTATCGAATATGCTTCCCATTGAGGTAAACGCTAGCTTCGCGGCTGCCAGATACCGAGAATTGTCCGATGGATGTCAACGAACCCGCGACGCCCTGACTCTTATTTCCAGTGCCCTCGAGAACAAAATCAGTTGCAGAGCCTTCTTGAAGTGTGTGACTGATGTATGCCGCCGGCGCATCGGGAACATAATTTGTGGATGGACTCAGAGGCTGTTTTATGATAGCGCCAAGGATCGTGTCTTCGAAAGCGGCTGTTCTCATCCATGCTTGGTACTTCAGGATGATGAATTCGGGATCTCCGCTCATATTGGATGCTAATATTCGGTATATAGATCGACCAAGCTTCGGTATGGGAAAGTTTGAGATTACGTTGTCGTTGTGTTGATCGGAGCACCTCAGCAATCGTTACACTTCACCGGTACCCCGCACGTAAGCCACATCACGCTAATCATGCGCGATATCTTTCAGCTGTCCGGATCGAGTTGGGAGTCTCTCCTAATGCGACAGCTCTCGTGACTTGCAAATGGTATGTGCTGAAAGGTGCACTTCGTAATATCCCGAGATCAATTCCCCAAGCAAGACGGTAAGAGCTTGGAAGCTGCTGTTGTACTACAGTGAGTTTGTACATCTTAGATGAGCTTCTGAAAGTAAGGGTCGCCTCCACGCTACCAAGTTGTGATTTCAACTATGCCCGTGCCGCTCACCGGTCAGTAGAATTCTGCATCTATGTCCGTCCAGCTTCTCAATCAGAAGCGACTTGATGTACGGTTCGCGGTGGTCTTCGAATAGATGTTCCGTACTGAGAAAACCGTATCCACCCCGTTCGTTTCCATCCGATAGGAGTCGAAACATGGTATTGATACCATCAATGCTCAGTGGCGGCACATTCCACCGATGATCAGGTATGTTCTTGCGGATGTAACTGATCATGAAGACCGCGATCGATATTGCTATCGGTGTAGCGAACGAAGTTCCTGACATACGCTGCATGCCATTGTTTGAATCACTTCCATCCGTTGGAATCGACTGTGTCCACCACGATTGCACGTACTCCCCCATACACATGAAGTTATCTTCTCTGAGTGCAGGCGTTGGATTGAACTCAGAAGCGGTACCCATTGCCGTGGCTGAGTGTATGCATAGAACACCAGGATACTTTCCTGGATATGTCCGGGGCTTGTGACCGCCGTCATTGGATGCGGATGCAAAAATGACGATTCCGCTGTTCTGACACGCCTTTATCTCCTTGCGTATCTCGTCCTCTATATCGGTCTTGCTGAAGCCGAATGACAGCGAAATGATATCTACGTTCCAAATTTGCCTGGAATGTTGCAAGGCCTTCATGTCACTGTTAGATTTAGTTGTAATAAACATGGAACATAACCACATACCTGAACGAGCTGGTGTCTAAAGGTATTACCACTGCGCTTTAGGTGTTTCTGAGACTCCACTACCCGTCCAACGTAGACATGAGTATTGCTAGATAGATCTAGGATGATGCCAGCAATATGAGTGCCATGTCCAGATATATCCTTGGGGAAATCTTCATGTACGAAGTCCTTGAAATCCCGGATGCGACCTTCGTTGTTTCTCACTTCATGATACCACTCTCTTATCACTTGAGGATGGCTTTTATCAATTCCCGTATCTAGAATCGCTATCTTGATCTTTGGGTTGGGATCGCGCCCTATGGCGTACTTGAGATTTTGTTCTCTGATTCTTTTTTTCCAATCATCGGCTTGTTTGGATTTTCTAGTACAGGTTAACGCTACTGGATGTGAAACAAGTATCCAATTCTTTTTACTTACTTTTCATCCAGCACGTTGGCCAGGTCGAGACTAAAGAGCTGTCCTTCATCCACTACAGGAGAAGCAGTATCGTTGTATGAGTACTGACGTGCCGCTTGCAGGGCTGGCTCAACATCAACTATTCGATCCACTCGTATGTTCAGGGATGGTTTCCTTTCCTCCCACGTGGCGTTGTATTGTTGTACTAATACCGACTGAGGTTTTGCCGTATCGTTGTATGTAGCGGTAAACTCTTGGAGCGGCTTGACAATCTTATCGTAGATTTTGGCACGGATGTCCGTTTCTGCTATCCCCTCATCCAAGTCCACATAAGCGCTCAGGCAATTGTTGATGATTTCAAGACAAGCGAGCTGTAAGAATTGTCCTGTACCATGGTCGTACGTCCGGAGGAGAGCGTTATATAGAGACTCCTCTTCATTGATCTGCTCGTCTTCGTTGTACTCTCTGTCTTCTTCAAGCACCTCGACTACTTCCAGGAAAAAGAGTTCCCATAGCAACACCCCACACTCAAGAACGAAATGTTTTGTTAGTTGTGCTGCGTCCGTTTTGAGCTTGGAAACATCATCCACATAGACCTGGATGTTCGAGGCAGTATCGTCTGCCATATCCATGTTTGGTGAAATGAGCAAATCATCGGCTCTCCAGTGGCTCTGGATCAACGCACTACCGATCAGGTATAACATCGATCTTGCAATGCGAAACCCCAGACTAATACGTAGCGACTTGCCTTTCTGCAACTGCTTCGCCAGCGCTAGCGCTTCGGTATCCGTTGAGCCTTGCACTGCTCTAAGTAAGGTTGATAATCTCAAACTGGGCTCTCGAGCTTTAGTTCTCGAATTAATATTCACCAATTCCGGTTTGATCCCCTCTGTCTTTATCTCAATACGTATCAACTTTCGGCGAGGTATTTTCAATCGCCCACAGATTCTATGTGAAGGCTTTGGAAGTGGAATGTCAACCGAACCCCTAGCGTTACTTCGGATCCATTGGATGATACACCATGTAACCGGAGATTTGATTCCACAATCTGCCGTCAGAGTCTCGATCATGGTTTCGTGATGTTCTTCGGTATCTGCACTGACATGAACATATGTAGGATGACCACCACAATTTTCGTGCCGCTCGAGCATCAGGTCTGCGATGGCCTTCTTCGAAGCTGACATATCCGCAATCATATTCAATTGCGTTTCTCGCTCATCGATCACACGAGCATCTGGATCTGGTATGCTGCCTCCAAACGAGTGCAAGTTTGCAGGTTGCGCAGGCGTATATACTCGTGCGATGGTATTGTTGAACCTTTTCACGACATTTGTGTGCGCCCAAAATTCACTAGCTTTGGAGTTGTTTGTTCGCAGGCGATACCAGTGTATTCTGTCGTTGGCGGCTGGTGTGTACGCAAGCGCCGATACAGATGGCAATGCTAACTCATCCTTGAACGTTTCAAGTGTGCTTGTCTGCAGGCGTTAGAAGATATGAACAAAGCGTAGTAGTCCATGGATCGCATGCTAACCATTTCGTGGAGCTCGACGCTATCAGTAGGATCATCTAAGCAGCCGAGGAATAAGTGGAAGAGTTCCTCCAGCGCCGAGGTTGCTTCCTCATGATCTGTTGTGGATAGATCATAAGCTGTGTGATTCTTGGGTATCACTTCTGAAAGCCTGTACATTTCGAAGCGCAATGTCGTGATCGCGTTGTGCGTCCTGAGAATCATTTCAGATCTGGTGCTGGGTTCCGCTTCGACCTTGTTCCGTGCGGGCGCGTGGGGTAACGAGGCGATGAAGGTTGGTACGATCGCCTCCAACACATCTATGGCCTTCGTGTTTAGAAACATGTCTGCGGCAAAAGGATGAGTCGAATAGTGAGCCAAAGCATTGATTTCGCATCGTGCTACGGGTGAATTCAGGATTCGGAGATCTCAACCGGCCAGATTTCCGATAGGGAGGTGCGGGGTCTAAGTGCGGCTGAGCTTACATGCTCATGATGGATGACACCATCGCCTGCATACCAGTCTACGAGCGTCTTTCAAATCCCTCCATCCTTTTCGACATGTTTATCACCTCACTCCCGGTTTGACTGGCGTCGCTATGGGTACAAATAATCCTCTCGGTCTTGTGGAAACAATCTACCTAGCGTCACGAGAATGCTCGGACACCTTCGAGAAATACATTGGCTCATTACCAGGAGAAAGCCCGGCGCGTGAACCTTTATTGGAACTGCGAAGTCTTTTCAAGCAATGGACCGCATATGTTGGGGCTTTCGCCGCCCCAAAAGCATCGCTTGACGCCCGACTTCAGAACCATGATGCAGTGAGGGAGATCATACTGGATTTGCTTTTCATGCTGCTGCAGAACTTGCGATGGGGTATGCATCTTTAGATCTGAGATCTTAGTTTCGCAGCCCGGTCTCTGACACTATATAGCGAGGCGCACCGGATCACACGATACAGCAGATCAGCTTTCCTACCAACACACGGAACCAAACCCGCTGAGCAGCCCAGATCCCGCATCACCCATGGACGAAGTCGGTCTCCCAGTAGTACAAACAACGATTGGTCGATTGCTGCAAATTGGAGTCGCAATACGACACTCGGGATGGTACACTCACCAGTCCAAGCTAAAAGACGAAGACCCTACTTCTAAGTTACTGCGCGAACAATGGCTCGAAACAAAGTACAGCAAGATACCTCAAAGCCTCAAGTCACAACTCTCCCGTTCCATGTATACGCGAACCACTTCCATAGACTATATGCGATTGCATAACGAAAGACTTGCGCATGAGCGGAAAGAAACGGCTTCTCTGAATTATGCTGCTCCAAATGCTTTGTCTGGATTGGAGGAGCCTATCGGCGAGGTTTCTAAAATCAGCGAACTGAGGGCTCCAAATGGGTTGCTTGCCCCAACTGTCGATACCAACTATAGTACTGTCATGACACCTTCCGCTGTGAGTCGAGTACAGAGTATCATGAGGAAACCGACGGGCACAGTAATAAGCAGAGGGGTGCCAGTGTCTGATGCAACGACCGACGAGTTCTTGTATCCAGAGATGCCTAAAGCGTCAACGGCATGTCCAATCTGTGCATGCCCCCTCCAATCGTCTCTCATGCGACCGCATGAATGGAGGTACGTGACTAGCTTTCGTTGAGTCCAGTGGTTGTAACTGTTTTAACTTCTAATAGGTCACATGTAGAAGGCGACTTGGAGCCTTACGTTTGCATCTCTGAGGACTGCATAGACCCACTAAGATACTTCAAGACTTTTGATCAATGGGAATCCCATATGCAAAACCGCCATACCGCACGATGGGCTGAGAGAATCCATACCCAAAGATGGTATTGCGATTTCGAACACGACCCGATCCAAGAGTTTGACAAGGAGCATAGTCTGAGGGACCATTTGAATGCTGAGCATGGCCAAAAACTGACCGATTCTCAACTTCGTGGTAGGCTAAGACGCAATAGAAGGATCGCGTCCCGAAACGCCTTCATTTGCCCTATCTGCGACTCTGAGCCTGCAAATATCCGAAAGAAGGTGGATGGCAATCCATATCAACTTTTGTGGAATCATATTGGGGAGCATCTCAAGTTACTAGCGTTTTCGTCGTTGCCATATGACCAATTCGACTCTGGCGAACCACAAAGCACACTCTATGCAGCGACCACAGACCAAGACGAAACTACACAGAATTCTAAACACAAAGAAAGACAAAGTTTTGAGGATTTGACCACGGTGCCCGAGACTCTTGTTTTGGAAGATGGTAGTTGCGAGGTGGACGATCTAGTAGTTTCGGCATGTTCAAGCGACGATCCTTCGTGCTGCGTCGATCGGCCACACAATCAGAAAACCATTTTCCGAGCCGAAACTGAGTTACCAGAAGCATTCACCTGGACTGATATCGACCTCAGGATGCAGCAAATGTCCGGTCTCCACACAAACTATGAAGAGCTCGCAAAAGGATTGGGCGTCATTGACGTGAATGTAGAAGATGAGACAGGGTACTCATCAGATGAAGCTTTCGGCTCCGAAGACGAACTAAGTCTGCGAGGCAAGCTGATCAAAATGTTCTACACGAGCAATTTCCACAAACCTCGCCGAAAGTTCCTTCCTGAAGACCAGGTGAGAACTCTTATCACAAAAGAAACTGTTCTCAAAGAGCTCAGGAGAGCTGATTATACGACCACCACCAGTCTGCGAGTACCCACCAGTCTGCAAGTACCCACTCCTCAAGAAGTTAATGCGGGTTGGATAGCAAAGAATGCTCCTAGGACTTTCGCTACTGTAGTCATCAGTAGATTGGACCCACGGGAGCTTTCGAGTTACATGATCGTGCTCAGGAACATCAACTTTACAGATGAAAGTCTCAGCAGGGAAAATATTGAAACAGTTCTTGATACTACTCTGCTGAAAGGACTGGACATACAGGACGAAGTTAAGGCAAAACGATGGCGATTCTTAGTGCCCATTTTCAGTTTACATATGCAAAAGTACACACTACCTGCGGAAAGTATCCTGCCATTCAGTGTGGAACCTGGAGTGATACAAAGCGACGCTTACACAACGATGACGAAAGTGTACATACACCCAGCTCATCGCGAATGGTCGAACAGCCAGCCAGTAGGTATAGGAACATTGAAATGCATTGAATTGAGCTAATCAGTCATAGGTTGTCATTAAAGAGTTCCATGCGAAAGACAAGGATTGGAATGCGTTAGCTTGGACGACTGAGGCAGTGGTTCAAGGACGAGTCAACAACTTTCTACACAACCACCTGACTGAATGCCTTGCAGCTATCAAAATGGGTGATCGGAAGTACTTAATGTTTCCGTGGGCTCATGGAGGTTCACTTGGAGATTTTTGGGCCACGGGCATAAATACCGGCCCCAACGCTCGTCTGATAAAAGATACCGTCAGACAACTCAGAGGTCTTGCTGATGCTTTGCATTGTCTCCACCATGTGATGGGTAGCGAGAATAGGGTTAGGGTTAAGAGACCTGAGTTCCCGGAACTTCCTGACGACGGTGTGCCCGCGATCCAGTTGAATGGTGTGGACATCGGGGACGGCGATGTTGGGGCAGCTATCAGCCATGGAGATCTGAAGCCGGAAGACATCTTCCGGTTCTTCGACGAAGGTGCAGATACGACCCATACATTACAAAGGCTTGGTACTCTGCGAATTGGTAATGTGGGTGTGTTGAAGCAACCTGTCTTGGGTGGAAGCGGGTACCCAAAACACGACGCAGATCAGAGACGCGCTACGTCCCGATATAAGGCCCCTGAGCTAGCAATGCCACAACGTGACGGACCACCTTGGTCGCACGATATGTGGTCCATAGGATGTATCATCTTCGAGTTCATCATTTGGATCCTCCATGGTAAGAACGGGCTAGCACAGTTCAACACTGAATTGCGGTATACGTTCTACGACAAATCAGGGGCCGGAACAACGCCTAGAGTTCACAGCGTTGTATCTGCTTGGATGTCTCATATGTTAGGAACGGATCCGGAATGTTCGCAGCGTAGCGTAATTCGGGATCTCTTAGAGATTGTACGTGACCAGTTGCTAATTCCGGCCGTGGACATATTACCCCGTATCGACCGACAGTTGACTCGCTGTCGCGTCACGGCTGCTGAGCTGGGTGACTCTATGGACAAGATTTTACGCGATATCAATGATCTCCCAGAGACCTATCTGTCCACGGGAAAGAGTCGGGATTCCATTCGACTTCCGAGAAAGAGAACGATCTATGGTTAGGGCAGGATGTCATTGTCACCGGCCTAAGTTATTATAAGGAAGTGCCTGTTTCACGATCTCTGTGTTTCTTCTCCGTTCTTGTACTGTGTGTAGGTAAAGCATAGGGCATGGTTGGCAAAGTCCTAATCTTCATTTCGTTGCCAATTTGCTCAGAAGTCGAAACGAATTTACCTTGTCTTACAAATCTTAGTTCTGTGAGATAGATGTCCAGGATGGATGGTTGTCTTCGAGACCATCTCTCTGAATAGAATTTGAAGCATGTGTTATGACCAACGCATTGGTGCAGCAACCTAGGAGGATGCGCGATGGGAACAGCGCCCTTCCACTCATTGGACGCCTGACAGACTGTGTAACCGAAGGGCGCTGCAGGACGCCTTGATGGCTTACGCTTCGTGGCTTGCTTCCGGAACACCGGTGTTCTCGGGTAGCGAGAATCCCGTGATATCGCGTGCACGCATCGAACGAGCTGTGAGTACAAAGGCAGCAAGTAGGTACAACACGAGAGAGCCCATCGCACTGGAAATCATCCTATACAGACCGAGACCACAAAGCAAGATCAAAATGCCACCACGCGTCCCCTCTGCCCACCCCTACGTCTCATTCCTCTCCGCCGCCTTTGGTGGCATGTTCCTGGCAATCGGCCTGACCTACATGTTCTACCCCCGTCATGGCTATCAACTCTTCGGCTTCAGCGCCGCCCCCAGCACACCTGCCGTGTGGTCGCTACCAGAGTGGACGCTGATAGAGCGCATCATGGTTGTATACGGCGCGAAAGACGCTTTCGTGGGCGTTGCCATCTTAGCAGCTACATGGGCTGGAAATCGAAAGAATGCGGGATTGTTGCTCGTTGCCGCAGGGGCTTGTGCGGGTGTGGATGGGTGGGTGGTGAGAAACGAAGCGGGAGGCGGGGAGTGGAATCACTGGGGGTATGGGAGTGTGATGGTTGGATTAGGCGGGGTCATGATGGGGTTGCTGGGCTGAAAGGGTTGATGGAACGGCGGTGGTATTCTGGGGCTTGCGGGTTGGGAACAACGGACGGGAAGGTTATAGAGAGTGTCTACAAAAGTGCGCTACATGATGACCTGTCTGTGGAAATTGTGCATCGAGTGATTATGTGAATGGATTGCTATGACGAAAATGGAGCTTTCGATCTTCCACGTGCAGTCGCGTGTGTTTAGCGCGACTTCGGGACAACGCGTCATGCCAGTCGCGTTCCGTCCCGCATCTCAAACAAGACCTACACGTATGCGTAGATAATTGCGATGACCGATATCTGGAGTGGTAACATCCTGCTACCAGACAATAATGCCATCAGAGGTACATATGATCGCTCTCCAGGGCTGCCGCGGCTAACGAACCCTAGACATCAGCCTTGCGTCGCAAAATCCCGCGTCTTCACCCACCCTTCCTGCCACGTCCCTACACTTCCTCACCACCGTCGATACCTCCAAGATACCGCTGTACCTTGCCGCTGGACCCAGCCTAGATGTATGGACAACAGAAGAAGCGACACAAGCGTGGTTCGAGTCGATATTGTTGAGCAATCCCCCACCGGGAGAAACGACCAGCCATGATGTAAGACAGTGGTGGGACCTGGCGCGCTCACAATCACCAATTGGCATTCTCGTACAAGTTCAAAGAGGTGAAGAAGAAGATGTGCATAGCCCGAGAGTGACTGAGATACTATTCTACGGCACTATTGCTGCTTCGTCAACAAGCGAGCTACCAACACCACCGTCCTCTTCGCCTTATGTCGACAATGCGCACGGCGAGATTCTGCCTGAGCTCCGAGTACACGCTCTACCACTTTCGTCTGATTTGCTGCATACTACTATCGACGTTCCGGGCATTACTGAACCGCAATTCCTGCCGCCACTACACGATTACCATGCTGCCCCAAAATCACCGAAACGCAACCGCGACCTCTTCGAAGAAGCCACCATTCAGTACAAGAAAGCACGGGGCCGAGGCGGACGCGCAGTCTCCGCAGCCGCAGCTCGAGTCAGCGAATTCCAGAACGCATACACTCATCGCAAATCCTCCCTCTCTACAGATACAAAAGCCTCGTCCTACCCAGACTCCAGACCACCGTCTGCGTCCGACCACTTATCTCGACCTACATCGCACCGCATCTCTCGATCACCAAGCATCTCGTCAGATACAAGACCGCTGAGTCGCAAGGGATTGCCAGAAGGTCATGCTAGACGGAGCAATTTGTCACAGGTCGCGACAGTCCCCACACAGCCTGAAGAGCCAACAACAGAGTCGCGGAACAAAGATGCACTTGTGAAAGTGGTCATGGCCGCAATGCGAATGCATGGACTGCAACAGCGGAAGCAAAATAGATCACGTCGTGCCTCAGCAGCTGGTGCAGAAGAAAGCCAACAGTTGAGCGAGGAGGCGGCGGCTGAGGAGGCTACGAAGGACGACGAATACAAACTCATCTACCATCAGACCTACAAAGGCGCTGCACTGGCTTTGGTATGTCACACACTTCCTTGTCCACACCTACGGTTCAAGACACCAACTAACCATGTCCAGCGCAAACACATGTCCACTGTCCCCCTTCACGCCACACCCGATAAAATGCGCGACATCGTCGAAAAGCTGCTTACGCTCTTCCTCTCCGATCCGCTCGCTGAACCGGAACCGGTGCCGGTTCCTGTCGAATCTGTGGCGACGCCTGGTGACAGGTCGAGAGTTGGCCTTTTCGGGTCTGCGCATGGCCATGCTAGTCCGTTTGATCTGCCGAGTACGCAGAGGAGGCCGGGGATGATGAGAGCTGTTACTGATAGTCATGTGTACACAGGGAGTCCAGTGAGCAAGAAGAGGGTTAGCACTGGCCCAGGGCAGACGTTGGGCGTGCCGGAGTGAGGTACTGCGCTACTGGAGCATGCTGGGTGGACCGACTCAGCACGACAGGCCATAATGACGCATCATCTTGCGTATCAGACACGAGCTATCGATATATCGCGCTTCGTTTGCGGGCAGCGCTTCTGCATGTTTCGTTTCTCGGCACTGCTTGCTGCTCGTGTCACAATCAGTCAGCATCATCAACCCACCCAAAGCGGAATGTCGACAAATTTGATGCTACGACGCCATACCCGGCGTGCAGCACTGAATTACGCGCCCTTGCAGTATGGTATCGCGAATACGGATGGCGAAGTATGTCACGGAAGTGACCTCGACCCACGCATTGCCTCACATGCTGCTGCAACATCGTGTGCTATGTCGCCGTCGAAGCTGCAAGAGCTATAGCAATACGACGGTAGCATCGAATACGATCAGCAAAGCTGTATAAAGCCCTACTGCCATGTCCCCAAGGAAACATCAAACAAAGCAGCACACCTTCGCAACTCCACCTCATTTACGCACATCACTGTAGCAACATGCGCTCTAGCATCTCCGCCCTTACTCTGCTTGCCTCCGGCGCATCAGCAGCAGCAGTCCCTTGGATCTGGGACGTTACCGGCTTCTCCAGCATCTGCAGCGCCGCCACATGCCGCTATTCCTTCAACGTTTCCGCACCTACCGGGCCCTCTGGTCAGCCTTCTTTCGACGCTAGCTTCTGTTCTGGTACCAGTGTACAGGGCGGGTACAAGTCCTGTGGTGTGGTCGGGGTTGATGTTCCCGCCGACGTGCGAACGCAGGAGTTCAACCAGGGTATCGATATTGGGGCTATTGTTAGTGTGCAGTATGCGTTCACTGAGTAAGTACAGACGCGAAGAGATGTTGGTGAAAGGGGATTCGAGCTGATTTGGTGATAGGGGGGAAGTGAGATATACGTACACGGGTAACAACTCTGTTGCACATACTGACCTAGGTCCTGCGGTGGATTTCCAGATTATACCTACAGAGGTTTCTGCTGTGGCTTAGTAACAAGAGATTTTCGCCCACAGATCTAGGAGAGTTGGCAGGATATAGATGTTCAGCACGAAGTGAACTTTCTCACAGCAAAGCCAGCTAAATATATCATCTGTCTGTGTTACCTGTCTACATTCCTTTCACAATGTTTCGACGCCGGAAATGCATGTGGAAGCTGGAAACCTCTGGAAGGTACCGTCCAAAGCTGAATTTAGCTGATGTAGCGATTTTCGACTGTCCGCAAGGCGCTAGATTGTGACGGCTCGCTTCGCATCTCGATTTTCTGCTTCAGAATGACCAGTTCTTTGTGTTTCTCTCATGCCTCGCGATCCAGCAAGAATTTGGTTAGTATATAGACATTGCTGCGTGATAACATCACCAAATTCGAATTGAAAGATATCTTCTAAAGAGTAAACACCATGTGCCACATCAGCGGCATGATCTAAGACGTCCTACATCATGAACGTCTTGATCAGCCTTGCATCGTATCAGGCGACGCGGTGTTCAACCTTGTACAACGTCGAATGATGCAATGTGCATGCAGCCACCAGGATCAAGGACGCTTAACCTTAAGGATCGATGGGCGCCTCAATTAGGGTGGTCATTGGGATTCGCCTTAGCGCTGACATCTGTCCTGCGGCACAGTCGCTGGTCGCTCTCTGAACGGTTCCTGGGTCGCGCAGTATCGACTTCCGGAACGGCAGCCTCAAGCAGTGTAGCCAAGTGCGTTGACCGATCGCAGCAGCGGGGATTTGTGTGCGGGCGCCATGGGTGATAACTACGCTAATCGTGTTGCAGAACTTTTAGAGATACCGTTGGTCGGTACAAGAGCGACGAGGCTGCGTTCCTCGGCTGATGCGTAGAATAATCACATCATGGTAGCGGATCGCAGGCCACTACAATACGATATTGAGATACTACAGAGCTGTATCTACATACGACGTCTCGGGGATTGCACTGTATGGTCGGCAAAGAGGCGAGCAACGTTAATTATTAGTTCATTCATGTCTAGTCGACTTTCGTCTTCGCAGCCTAAGCCGCTTGGTCCTTACAAAATGCAAACGCATCATGTGTATCCAGGCGCCTACCATGATTGGATGCGCGAAGAAGGCTGAACTTCGCGTACCGAGTGGTGCAGCAGACCGTGGCGTAGACAGCAATGCAGTAGCTACCCAACTAACTTTCTGGAATCGTTCTTATGGTGAAGCGCTACCCGCTAAGAACCTGAAACTATCGTCCACCAGCCGTACCCATGTCTTTTTCAGACCACAGGCGCTGTGCATACATCACATGCGATGAGAAGTTATCTAAGAGTTGGTTTCATAAGCTTCCAGTCCTCACTGAGCGCGTTTCTGACCCTGTATCAACCTCTCTCTGCTTCGGATGCGACAGTTTGGATCTTCCAGGTATCGTTGCCCGTATGCGAGCCGACCCTGATATGGAATATGTTGCGTTGCCTCCTTGGACGAACTCTGCAGGGCTGCCTATGGCTGATGTTGCTTGCGCATTGTGCGTAATGTTCTCAGCAAATTGGGATTCTATAGGAAAATAGAAATCAGGTGGATGGAATCTGAATACTCCAGCCAAGAGGCCATGTTCTCTTCGTGGTCTCCGGCGGCTGTAGTGTTTTACACTCCGAATTGGTTGAGAAAAGCAGTATTCGAGATAATCCCGATGCAAGATGCTATCATTGTTTGCCTGAAACTTGGATTCGAATACCTTTGTACGTTTGATCAGCTACGAAAGGATTTGAGCAGAATTGCGCTGACTATGCACAACTTGATTGAACATCTCATTTTAAGTCTATGAATCTGATAAAGGCAGTACTTTGGTGATGTCTATTCGCATTGCCGTGTTTGGTTTCATGCATTTACCTCGCCAATCCTGCAGAAACAAGATGACGCTACAGATACGTCGGCTTCGGCCATGGCTAGAGTGAGCTGTCTCTTGACGTTGGAAGCATCCTTCGACCGACCGAGTCGGACAAGACACTCGTGGTATCCGTGCAACGCCCAGACGTTCTTGGGATGTTGATGCGCACGCGTCAGACGTCCTTCTAGTCCAAGATCTTCTGCGTAGGCTCGTGCTGCTTGCTCTACCAGGCCCTGCTCAAGTGATAGAGCGCCATATGGATGTCTTGCCGGTAGCATCCAACCCCAAGGCTCAGTATATATCAGATTGTCTTCATGCTTTATAGCTTCCCGGATTGAGAAAAATGCGACATCATAGTTCTGTCTCCGGTATTCTATCTCGCCGTCTAACATGGAACTGGCCACTTTGAGTACATCCACAATGCGGTTCGGAAAATCCAAGCGGCTTTCTGGCACACATTTCGAAGCCATATGGAATAGCTCACGCTGGGTGTCTGCGTTGTCCAAGTCGTTTGTCGCAGCGTATGCGACGCCCATGCCATAGTGCCGCATAGCAATGGTAACGCAATACAAATCCTTATCGTCTGGTATTTGCAGCTTCTTGAGCTCATCCCATATCCCAAATCGAATCAGTACATGGACTCTGACAGCCAGGAAGAACTCCAGCCAATCAGCCATAGGCGGCGATTTGACTCTCAACATCTCTTCTGTGACCGTAGCTTCCATGCGGTCGCAGGACTCCAACGCAACCTGGGACTGACCTGCCAACATCGCGGCATAAATCAAGGAATGATAGTTATGAAGCCTGTAGAAACTGTAGAAGTTCAGACCGCCTTGCTTGACAAAGAACTTATCGTCGGCGACAGTTGCTATGTGGTTATACAGGATAGCGCGACGGTACTCAGAGGTAATCAGCAAAGATTTCTGCTTGCGTTTGTCCATAGGTACTTACCTCACCCACGAGGACATCGATATGGCAAGGCATATGCGACATGTGACCGGCGTCTGGAACCAGATCACGGATGATGTCGGCGGCTGCAAGTGCTTTCTCGGGCGTGTCTGACATCTCCATAAGATGGATGTACATGTGCGGGACACCTGGATGGCGAGAAACTTCGGCGTGCTTCAGACCAGTTTCCAAAACACCCTTGACCTCGAGCACAGATGACGATGTAACAAGCTTTCCCGTCTTCTTGTCAAAAAAGTCTCTTGGAGTCCATGTCATGAGCGCATCGGCAAAGAGCGTGGTGATGTCTAGATCGTCGTGACCAAACTCACGATACACCTCCCTCATCGCTTCAGCGTAAGCCTTGTTTGACTTGGGAAAGTTCGTCATAACTTCCTCGATCAAGTAGCGTTTTTGTAGTGCCTGGATGACCGCTTTCTCCATTGGTGTTGCCATTGATGACTTTTCCAGAGCTACCTGTGCGTCGGAGTTGCATTGGGTGACCACCTTCTTGAGGTCTTCGGTACTGAACACTGCCCAGCTTTTGTTGTAGTTGGGGCCCGCGGCGAATGCGAGACCCCAGTGAGCCATTGCACACTCTGGATCGTGAGCAATGGCTTGTCGGAAGCAATAACATGCTTCTTCATGGTTGAAGGCATAAGTCCAGTTCAGTCCGCGATTAAACCATTCCTGGGCCTCTGAATTCTGCGTGCTGATTTCCCATTCATAGGTACCAAGGTCATAGTATGGCTCGCTGGTTGGCTGCTTCATCATCTTGAATGCCGTGGGTGTATGCTTGAGATGCGGGCTGGAGATGCGGTGCAGATCGAGTAGCTGCTTTTGACCTTTTATAACCCGTGTAATCATGTTCGAGACGGCTACGGAGACTTTAGTCATCGCAAGAGTAGATGTTTCCGAACGGTAGCGGCGAAGGGACGATCGGCGTACTCCCGTTCGGTTACACCGGCTTTGCCCGGCGTCTTGCCCGGCGTCTGCACATGATCAACGCGCCAAATCAAGTGGCTTATTCGCATAACTGGATATTCATGCTGGTTGGAATTACTAATGATATACAGAAACTAGTTGCGGTACGCTGTTTTTGGTGACTGTTGGGTATTTCTAAATGAGACCGTACTACGCTTAGTGTAACAGATAAGGACGTCCGGTGAATAGTCTCACTTTTAGTAATCAGGTCTATGGAGATAGGCTCAGGCAGCTCCCCGAGGCCTTACTCGTGACTGTGCAGGACGTCAAAGCGAGTTGTCTGCGAAAGCAACCATATAGACACCTTTTAGCTCGTCATACATAGCCTTAACCCACGCAAACCTTGCATCGTACAGACTGTAAATCTCCATCGTCGTTTCGAGACCATGTCTGATCTCTTCAGTTGTTCGTTCTGTTTCGAGGATCGATGAGTTGTCTAGGCCAGTTGACGCCCTCATCTGACACAGCGTTGCAACCAAGACATAACAAGCTTGCATAGCGCTGCAAGCTAAGAGAGGTACCGTCAATGGCCATGAATATTGGGAAGCGTCTTGATCATTGAGACATGAGTAGTTCAAAACTGGTTTCTGACTTATCGTGAGCTTGCGGAAGAGGCGTATGACGGCCAATGCCGAAGATAAACAGCTCCTACTCAGATCTTCTTCTCTGGCAAGATCCGATTGTTCCAGCGTATACCAACTGCTACTCACAGTCGCAACTATGGATTCTGGACTTTTGGGAGAATTTGCCTTATGTAGATCAACACCTATAGCGGCCATGTCGCAATGTCGATCAACGAAGACTGGAACGTCTGCGAATGCGGCAGCTCGATAGAGCTTGATTCGAGCGCTATGAACAGCGATGCGGGAGATTGTATTCCAGTTGTCGATAGCCTTGGTATCAGAGCTTTGTGGCAAGCTGATAGTGTGTGGCTGGTCAATATCATGAACGCATGACGCGAGTGTTTCCTCAAGCATCTTAAATGACTCAATTCCCTCCTCGATTTCGGTCCGGGTAGAAACAGTGAGATGTAGGGATTGGGCGCGAAGTAATGACCTCCAGGTTCCGAATACAGCCTCACAGTGCGGGTAGGGCGTTCTGAGGCATGGATCATTGACCCTTATCAATGGCGGAAGTGCATGCATGATTGAAAGCTGATTGGCGAAGTATGTAATCATCCACCAAGACCGTCGCACAGCTTCGGGGGCACTGGGCCCAGAATTATGTAGGTCTGCATCCATAGCAGCTGCTATAGCAGAAGCTAGGTGCTTGCGAGTTTTGCTGATGTTGCCTCGATGACAGTATTCATACAAAGCACTAAAGAAGAGAGCAAGAATGCCTTCCAGATTTGGTGAGATATCCGGATGTAATCTCGGTCTGGGAGGTAGGCTGTCCGTTTCCATATCATCATCTAACTTCTGCAAAGCTGACTTGGATAACGCATGAGCGAGTTCGCATCGGCTTGACGTGTCGGACACTTCCTGCCTTGCCTCATAGGATGGGACCATAGCCAAGAGTGCAGCAATAGCAAGAGTGAGCGGAGAGGTCATCTCTCTAAGGTTTTGACTCTGCAGATCAGGCATTGAATGAGGTTGAGCATGCGGATGTGGAGCGACAGCTGGTGGCAGAACCGGGAAACATGGATGAATGAAAGTGTAGTATGCGTCTAACCTAGAATCTATCAGTGATCGAACGTACGGGTGACCGAAGAAAGGCGCATTCGACTCACACATCGGCTTCGGTCCGATAGCTTCGAGTTCCATCTGGAACGGGATTGCTCGGGACGACTTCGTCTCCTGGTTGGCCATGGTGAATACCAAACATGGATGGTGTCCTGTCTATAGCATAAGTCGGATAAGCTTCCTCAAGAAACAATTGACTAGTGCCGACAGTTTGTGGAGAAGAACGGTAACCGGCCTGCTCAGCAGGCGCTGTTCGAGGTTTACAGCCTCTGCGGCTGGGCCGAAAGGTGCATTCTCTGCCCCTTGTAACGCACTGCTTGAAGTCAGACGCTGACTGTAGTCAAAATATAGAGACCTCTTACATTATCACATGGGTACTGGCCGTTACAGCGAGTTTTACATGCCCGACTGCCATTACATGTCAGTGTCGTCAACGTACACAAACAGTTGTGGACAGATACCAAGCCAGGCATGCAGCCTTTACAGGGGGGAGCTCTAGACGGCCACGCATTGCCTACTATGTTAAGCGCCGTCGGTTACCAGATTTCCACTTTCGCGAATGGTCGAGTGAGTGCTGGTTAAGAAATGAGGTATCTGCTGAACGCCGGTGGCGAACGGAACGGCGTTTACCTAAGCGGTGATCGCCGAAACGCCGCCCCACTTCTCTTAGGGGGCTAGTCAACCTTTCGTGTCATTCGGCCTCTCAGTTGCACAACCAGTTTCTGCAGCTAGCGTTCTTGAAGGCCGAATGCAGGGCTACGAATTGTACGGTCACAACTAGAATGCCTGAAAGCTTTGTCAGGTAAGTTTGCGTGAAAAGCCAGCACTATGTCAGTATCTCAGCAGCACACATAAATACAGAGCGAATTGCCGGCAGCTCTCTCAGGGCATCAAGTCAAATTCTCTTTCCGTGCAAAGAAACCATCCTTCCAAGTTACACTATACCTTATCACACTCAAAATGGCAACATCAACTATGAAGCAGTGGACCGTGGAGGGCGGAACTGGCTTTGAAAGCCTCACCTTGAACAATGACGTGGCCGTTCCCCAGCTGGGCGACAAACAAGTCTTAGTGAAACGTGCGGCTTCAAATTTGTAGTAGGCCAGGCCTCAGGCTGACATGATCTAGTCCATGCTGCTTCACTCAACTATCGTGACCTCGCTATCGCCAGGGTAATATATACTCCAGACTCAATCCAGTCATATGATCCTAACAGTTCTCAGAACGAGTTCCCTTTCGGCTTCACAGATGGTGTAATCCCCGGATCAGATGGCGCTGGGGTGGTTGAAGCAGTTGGCTCACGCGTCACTCGCTTAAAGGCGGGAGGTATGCAACAAACTGGATGAGCTGGCTTCCGCTGCGAGCCCTCGTAGCAGCCTACCTCATCGTTTTCCTTTTCCACAAAGTGCCTCCACTGACATTGAAGCAGACAAGGTCTTGACCATGTTCAACCAAGGGCACCAGGCTGGTTCCCTAGATGCTGCATCTTTCAAAACCGGTCTAGGCGGATTCGTCGACGGTACGCTCCGCGAGTACGGTGCCTTCGATGAGACAGGCCTAGTCGCGATACCTGCAAACCTCAACTGGCAGGAAGCAAGCACCCTCCCATGCGCTGGTCTTACAGCATGGAACGCGCTTTATGGTCTCGAAAGTCGAGCTCTGAAGCCGGGCGATGTTGTTCTGACTCAAGGAACTGGCGGTGTCAGCCTTTTCGCTATCCAGGTGCGTAGATCGCGACTGATTTGCTTCAACATCTGATCTTCGGTTACAGTTTGCCAAAGCCGCAGGCGCAACAGTCATTGCAACAACTTCCTCGAATGCCAAAGCAAAGCTATTGGAGCAATTGGGTGCTGATCACATCATAAACTACCGCGAAACTCCCAACTGGGGCGAGCAAGCCAAGGCATTGACGTGCGACAGAACTGGTGTGCAACACATCATCGAAGTCGGCGGACCCGCCACCATTGCTCAGTCGCTCAAAGCCGTCGCCATCGATAGTGTAATATCTATTATTGGCTTTATTGGTGGCTCATCTAAGGAGCAGCCGACATTCTTGGATTGTTTGAGTAACCTGTGCACAGTAAGAGGCCTTCTTGTTGGCTCTCGCATGCAGTTTGAGGACATGAACAAGGCTATCGAAGCTAACAATATTCATCCTATTGTTGACAAACAGGAGTTCAATCTGGAACAGTTGAAAGAGGCCTATCAGTACATGTTCGACCAAAAGAACCTCGGAAAGGTTACTATCAAGATCGCATAGCATGCTGTATGGCTTATTGAAGGTGGAAAAGGGAGGCAAGCATCCAGGTACTATTTCACATAGTACTTTGGAAGTTCCACGGGGTCTTCAACAGTCTACATAGAACAATTGAGATCAACGTATCGCTATACATATATGTATTCTCGAACATGAGGTTCAGGTGCATGCTAGTCAGACCTCTCGAGACACTCGCTACACAGTGGCCCCAACGCTCGGCTCTTGGCGCGATCCCAAATTGAAATAGCGTCCTTTATGAGATAGCCAACTTCGATATAGCTATTCCAGTAAGCAAGCCGTTCACGTTCAATTTCCACCATAACCACAACTCCTTGATCGGGGTACGGTCTCGATGTCGAAACGTCCTCCCTTGCGCTTTCTGTGGCACGAAACTCAGCTGCTCTCCTTCCGAAAAGCGCCCGACATGGTCTACGCAACGATCTATCGACATCTCTAGGCATCTCGTGTACAGACTTTCCTCATTATCTCCTGGCAAGATAGGTGGGAAGACCTTCTCCAGGACGTCACCACCGTCCAAACTCGATGTCAGCTGATGTAGCGTTGATGCGACCTTATCGACTGCGCCATCGTAGAGTGCAAAGAAGATGCAGTGGTTTCCCTTGTACTCAGGAAGATGGCCTGTGTGCATATTGATCATCAGCCCCGCACGCGCGGTCAGCTTCTTGCCGATATATTTTGTGCCTGAAACAATGGTCAGCTCGGGCTGCCACTCTTCCACTGCGTCCCATACGTCACGACAGTTGACGCTCTCGACAACGAGGTTCGGTTCTGGTGATAGATGATCCTGCGGCATCAGACGATCAAAGTACGCCTTGCGCTGGCGGTCGTGACCGAAGACCTGGCGGCGAAGCCCGTGATATTTCTGCCAGAACGCGTCAACGATGCGACGCTTCTTCAACAGCTGGTGGAATTGCCCATAGCTT